CCTCATCGTCCGTCCATACTAATGTAGTACCAGCTCGCCCACTCGCCATGTTGTCTGTTTACAAAATTCTGCGCATGCCCACGGAAGTTTGGGCTTGATCCCGTCATTGCGTCACAGCGCCACCAACAGGTCTGGCATAGTTTCACAGCGTTTTCAGGCGTATTGACTACATTCATATGGACGCACACATTTACTGAGCTAACTCCGTGTTTACAGAAAAAGTTTCTGAAATTATAAGCGTTTTGTCTTCGTGTGGATATAGCCTTAATCAATCGTCATGAGTGAAATTCATATTTTAACCAAGATTACGATGTTGAAATCTGGGATGTTTCTGTTAACCCAGATTTGAAGCTTTTTTTGCCTCTTCTTCGTATCTATTCTATTTTAGACTGGGGTGAAATGTGATAATTGTTTAGAGGTAGTTGGTCTCCCAAAGCCCCTAATGAGTGAGCTTGAATAACTGGAGCAGTTAGAACATTGGCTGCTTCCAATCCTTAGTTACTACTCTTGAGTCTGTTTCCTGTTCAATGACTAATGAGCGTTTCTCCCCAACCTGGAAATGTATACCCGTACTTACAACCTTTGAGGCTGTAATTAGGCTGGACTAAATGTGAAAAACTCTTATTTAGCCTTTTTGTAGTGTTCATGTTTTAGAACCTTACAAAACAAAAAGTTTCTTAGGAAATCAACTTAGATTTTAGATTTGAATTCTATTAAAGGTGCATTGTGTGAACTGATGTGTTTTCCTTTCAAACATATTCAAGCACAGGTGTTTTTATTGCTTAACATTTAAGGCCATAGTATACCGGAGCCTCAGAAATGTGCCAAAACCTATTGGTTAAAGTTGCCCGTGTGTTGTCTTTCCAGTGTTTTCCTGTGATAATCCACACTCTTGGATAACGCGCTGCACATTTCAGCATTATACCACTCAGCTCCAAACGCTGAAAGCTCTCCGCCTGACTGAAGGATGTCCATCCACCGCCTCAAACATGTAAACTTGACGGCCTTGACGCCGCCGTGTGAATACGGCTCTGCTATCAGTGAGCTCGCCTCCCCCACTGGGCCGATAGCCTGCTGGAGATGAATAAGTTAATGTTAACAAAGTTAAACATGTTAATATGGGTTTGTTTGATGATTTATATATTGGTCCATTTTGTAACAATATCAGAAAATAAATGAATAGTTTTCATGTTGAAAAGGTGTGGAAAATCAACCACACAGAGACGGGATCGTGGCACACCAGAGCTTCTAGAAGTTTATTCAGTTTCCTTCAGGTTTCAATTGTTTCAGTTTTTTCATTGTTTCATTGTTCCGTCACAGACACGTCACACATCGAAAGACATACGTGTCGCATCAAGAGACAATCGGAACACATCAGAGTCATAACATGGACACACAATTGGAGTCCTTGGGACTGTGAGGGCCAGATATTTTGTCTTTGGTTTGTCCTCCTGCATAGGCCACAGATATCTATTCACCATAAAGGAACTAATTTAAAAGGACCCTTGTATCTTTGTAAACACCAAACTAGATTCATATTGGTGTCTTGGCTATGGACACATCAACCATTTTTTTAAAGTTTTATCCCACAGCGAACCTTGCCAAGTCCTGGCTTGTTGGATCGATAGATACTTTATTGATCACACAATAAAACTCTCAGTTTGAAAGCTCGAGTTGGTCGGACCCGTGTTGGCTTTTCACCACTGGGAAAATAGGAAAGTGTGAAAGTTAAGATGAGATAAACTTTATTGATCTCACAAACATGACTTAAAAAAATAGTCTTTTAAAGTCACCTCATGAGTACAGCAAAAACAAGAAAGAGGAGAATGTGGGCAGCTCAACCTTTGACAATAAGAATTCACACGATTCCATGCCTTTTTGGATTCGGGTGATGTTTTTTTATTTTCTATTTTAGAACAATGGCTACACATTATTGGAAATTAGAGCAATATTCGATATGGGTGTTAAGTATTCGAAAACTCTCTTCTAATCATATTTTTGCCTTTCACTTAAAACGGTATCCTGCATTGAGGAAAAATCTCACATTCTCAACATTAATTACTTTCAAATGCAGTATGCAGCACATATTAATGCCTGAAGTTGTAAATTCCATACACACAGTATTAACAGTATTGCATTTGTCTCTATATCCTCCACATCTTTTGATTCTCCACATGCTCCGCTCTAGTGTGTGGCGGCACTGGGTCGCCGATTTGTCAGTGTGCGTACAAGAAATTCATACATATATCAAAATGATCACGCATCTATTTGATATGGAAATCGCACGTAGCAATATCGCAATGACAATATTTTTGTGATACATTGTGCAACCGTGTTTAGAACAAGTCACTTAATTGTGCATTTACTGTTTTTCAAGTAAGAATTGTGTCTTGTGTTTAGACAAGTGAAGGCTGTTGGCACAGATATTGGTTTGATATCAGCCAGTCTGTTGGACGTGAGAGTTGTCAGAGAGTGCTTCTTCTGTTCAGACATTAAGACACTTGGTATGTTTAACTCTTGATTCCTGGGAGCTTAGGATGACAGAACTCTGTGTCATACTTCTAAAGGCTCCACTTCCTCTCCCAATTATCTATGGTTGTCACGGCAAGAAGTAGTGGCCTTTCTTTGGTCTGTCTGGCAAAACAAGCTGCTTTCTTGGAGCTATCCCAACTCTGACTCACAGCTTACACAACTCAATGATGACCAAGCTTTCTTTATCCCCCCGAACCCCCCAACCCCTCTCAGCTGCTACGACGCTACAAGTTTCTTGGTTCTTGGAAGGTTGAATTCAATTGGTTTTATGGGGAACACACAATGACTGTTTCCCAAATGAACTGCCACACAGGCAGCCACAGCAAACCACAGCTGCTTCTGAACATGAGGCTGTGTGAAGGGAGGACCCAACTGGGGTTTCTCTGACCAATATATGGAGCTATAGTTTTCAATTGGCCTGGGACATTACTGCCTTTTCAAAAGCAAAAAATCCAAGCGTTTGTTTGACATGTCTTGACAGCTCTGTGGAGCAAATGGTCTTCAGGGTGACCTTTTTGGGCACTACACAACTGCCTGTTGACAGATCGCTCCTAAAACAATCATTTGAGAGCCCTCTTTCCATGTATTACCCCAGGTTGTGTAGCATAAAAAATATTCTCAGCCAGGTTATCCTTTCTGAGGCTACCTTGTTGAAATGAAATGTCCTCCTCCTGCTAACTCTAAATCTAATACAGTCATCAGATAGAAAGATGGATACGTTATTGATTGATTGTGGGAGCAATTCAGGTGTCCAGTAGCAGCAAAGACACATCCATCCACACAAACAAAACAAATACATTAATTAAAAAGCTAAAAATAGTTATAATAAAATGCAACAACACTAGAAAAATAACAATAGTAAAACTCAAAACAACAAACTTTCAGAGCGACTTAGGACTTGCTGCCGTTTCCAGCACATTCAAAAGAATCATGAATCCTGTTTGTGGAAAGTCCATGATGGTTGTAAAGTAATTTAAATCTAGTGATTATTTAGATGAACCGATTATTCTAGAATGCTAATATGATATGATAGATCCCTAAAATAATTGTAGATGATTGAAAAACATGGATTAATTGCTTCTATGTTAAAACTCTAGTTAATACATAGAAAATTCCAACATTTTATTATAGTGTATAAGTTAAGTCACTGAATTGGTGCATTTCATATAGACTCCTTACTCGTATTTCTCATCTGTGTTTCTATTTAGTTTTAGCTTACAGTTATAAAAAAAAAAAAAAAAAGTGTATCTGTAGCTTTGGCCGTGTGAGTAGGTGCCAAAATCTGGAACGTGAAAGCAGCATTTGGCGTAGAAAAGAGACGATGCAGAGATTATATCATATAGGTTTTATTTTTTATTTTTCTTCCAGTTTGCTCCCACACACTGTTTATTTGTGTGGTTGCATGTACTGTAGCCATAGTGAGCCCCGCAATACATAATTGTGAAACTCTCTAACACAGCATGCGAGGTGCCTAGTTTTACACGCATTTTGAATTGGCCGGTTATGGGTTTTTCCTGGCGTCCATGTAAACACTCCCCTTGATGTAACACATTCTTCAAAGGACGCAGAGATGACAGGACAAAGTGTGCATGTCCGTATCTCTGTGACGATGTCCACAGATGGTAGAGGGTCACTGCTTGGTAAAGTTGACGTCAGATGAGAAGGGAAGGCTACGGCTCATCCTTCAGACACTGGAGCTGTGAAAGTGAACTTGGACTGGTGTTTTTATGGTGACAGCCTGAATGACCTCAGGCCGCAAGAGTCAAACAACAAGACGTCTTTATCCACAGATGTGAGCTCCATGTTTCTGCTTCATCGTAAGAGCGAGCTGCCACTTTGCACTTTCTTATCATTGTTTTGTGAAAGCTCCTCAATGCAATGCCATCTTTGTGCATAGTCTGCATACAGTCTAAATCTTTTTTATGTTCGAGATAGATGTTTGTTTATCTACAAAAGATTCCTATTGTTTTATATCCCTTTCTGCATAGTTTAGTGTGAATAGTTTAGTTATCAGTGTAGCGTTTTCCGTTATCAGTCATCTTGAGTCAGTCACTTTTTTCCCACCCAAGATAAAATATCAAGATTCAAAACATTTTGTAGATATTCAAATTGAATTATTCAAATTGAAAAACCGCAATAATTTGGTGGTAAGTTTTATGGCCACAGAAAAAATATTACATTTGTCTAGTCAGGATTTTTCTTTTAGTTCTTAACAACAGTTCTGAACAAAACCAAACCAGAGAAAAACTAGAAGTTATCTTCCCAGATCACCCAGCCTTTTTTATCTAGGGTACTTTCAAATGCTATTCGTAAAGTATATATGTGACTTTTATTTTTGTCCTTGAATCTTGTAATGGGAGACCTAATCGTCCAAATATGATGCGATGTACGTGCCCATTGATTTTTTTAACCAAGCTCTACTGTATTTCTCTTGTGTGTAGTGAAGCAGTGTCGATGCCGTGCTGCTGATGCCCAGATCTGAATGGAGAAACGCTCGCCAAGAAGCCTACAGTCGTAGCTCCTTCTTCAGGATGCTGACACGGCACTGTTTACTCCTGCTCCTGGCTTTACATACGCAGCTTTTGAGCACGTGCTGTCGATTGGCCACCGCAGATGAAGGTGAGGAGATTTTTAACCTTTTAAATGTGTACTAAAATGGATGCAATTCTGATCTCCAAATGCAAAAATACTTTTGCGCTTGAGGGTTTACACACTGAGTGTGGGATTTGATTCTTTTGGACATGGTTTGAAAATCCTTAATGACAACAAAACTTTTTTCCACTAGTTGTTGGTGGTTGTGTTATGCCCTATATTGTCTAATAAACTCAGATCTCAAACGTGTAGTTCATGCATGGTAGCCCAGACGTTCGCTGCCAAAAAGATAGTCAGCAGAGAGGTTAAACAACCATATCCTCAAAATATACTACCTCAAAAGACTTAAACTGTCATAGATTTAAATGGGAAATACACGCTAATTAGGTCCGGGGGATGGAAATCTATCATTAGGATCATTAGTCATTTTTGTTGAGAAAATAAGTTTGGCAATAAATTGTACCACACAACCACTTACAATAAGTAGAGAAAACAGTTATTATTCTTAATATAAAATATTTGGCCACAAACAAAAATAGCCTGGGGGTGTACACTTTCAAGCCATTCCTTTTTATGGCATCGGTTCAGTTTGTATTTGAAATGCCTGCTACCCAAGCCCCGGCGATCCAAGATGGCGCCGTATTCAAATGAATGGTTTGTGCTCAGCGGCGCATGTGCGGACTGGGAGGACCAGACGATGCCCAAATATGGGCAAGTTCCTCTAATCTTTCGGCGCCCATGCCAAATACGCGTGTGTGGCTCTCATGCACATGCACAGAGGGGCTCTGCCCAATCAGAGCTGCTGATCAGAGCTGCTGATCAGAGCTGCTGATCAGAGCTGCTGATCAGAGCTAGAGCTGGAGCGGGAGCTAGAGCGGGAGCTAGAGCGGGAGCTAGAGCGGGAGCTAGAGCGGGAGCTAGAGCGGGAGCTCTATGGGGAAAATGTCTGGGTAGCCCACGTGAATTTAGTCTCGTTTCTTTTGCAGTACCGCGAGAATCGCGCGAGCACCTGGGTCCTTCAGTTCCAAGCTAGTAATACCCTATCCAGTTTTTATGATAGATCCATGCTGCTACCTAAGAAAGCAACTGCATTGTTATTCTTCCCCCACTATAAACTTCTTTTTCAAATGGCTGATATTCTGTTTCTCTACACTGACAGTAGTAGATTGTTCCTTACACCTTTGACATGGCTTGGGCCTGCCACAAAGATTCCTCTGTCTTATGGGCGGGTAGTTTTACCTTGGTTTGAGTTTTATTAAAAGTCTTGTATCTAGGTGAACTCCGTCTTATCTGGCCCGTTGCCTTGAGAAGCAGACCAGTGATAATCAGAGCTTTGTTCTTGTGCAGGAATGTAATCCTAACACACTCCAGGCCACACGGACACTGAGGCCTGCCCTTTGTAGTGTGCGTGTTCCCACTTCCCCCTTTCTCCTCAGTCTGATGTTTGTTAAGTGCAACAAATTTATCACAGCCGTTCTTCGCATTCGCACTTGTTCAAATCGTTTTGTTTTTTTCATTGGATTTTTAACAATATCAGATTTTACCTTTCCAAACCGATGGGTGTAATGGCTAGTTAAAGCTGGGGTACATCATTTCGAAACCTCAAAAAAAGTATTTAAATCAATGTGAATTGTTTCTCACCCACAAAACTGTTTGGTTCGTTCATCAGTTTTTACATATGCAGAGATGGAGACTCGGGAGTCGGACTCGGACTTAAGTTGGGGGCATGATTTTGGGACTCTCTGGTCTTTATGGAAATGATTGTCCAAATGAAATCTTCGCCTCACTTGTGTCTGAGCGTCCAATGTACAGTGGGGCAAAAAAGTATTTAGTCAGCCACCGATTGTGCAAGCTCTCCCACTTACTTAAATAGTTATTTTCCACCATAATTTCCAAATAAATTCTTTAAAAACCCTACAATCTGAATGCCTGATTAATTTTTTTCACTTTCTGTCTCTCACAGTTGAAGTGTACCTATGATGAAAATTACAGACCTCTGTCATTATTTTAAGTGGGAAAACTTGCACAATTGGTGGCTGACCACCCTACAGTGGGGCAAATACTTTTTTGCCCCACTGTAGAGTTGTCAACAGAGGAGAACTAGCCATAGGTGCATTCTGGAGAAGCATCGAGCGCCAACAAGCTCTGGCGACCACTTTTTATTGGAATTGAAAACCTTTGGCTCATGTCAAATAGAGCAAGGCCGTGTCGCGCTCCAGTGAGGAAAGAAAGGTCCAGGACTAGTTTGCAACAGTCTGCATAGATGTTTTTGGCCCCTGTCACTTATTTAGATCAGCCTTTTCAGTTCATAATAGGACACCAGCCTCGACTCGCCTCTCAGTATGTGCAAGATGAAGATGTTCGTTTTGTGAACCAATCAGACCACAAAATGCCAAGGCGGGACGGTGGCTGAGTGGATAGCACTCTTGCCTCTCAGCAAGAAGGTCCTGGGTTCGAATCCCGGTCGGACCAGGGCCTTTCTGAGTGGAGTTTGCATGTTCTCCCCGTGTCTGCGTAGGTTTCCTCCGGGTACTCCGGTTTCCCCTACCACTAAAAAAATATGTCCAATAGTTCTGGCATGCGCTTCCTGTACTGGCGACCCCGCTCCCATCTCTATGTGGAGTGAGAGACAAATGCCCAAAAATTAACAATTGTAAACCACTTTGAGACTCAGATCTGCAGTGAAAAGGTGGTATATAAATAAAAACTTACTTACTTACTAGTTAGGAACTCCAGTTTTAATGTCAGTGTCTTTCTATAACTTTCATATTCAAATCGCCACGGCTTTTTAAATCTTATCACTGTATTTCAATAAATATTTAAACCAAAATGCAATTATTTGAAGTGAAAAGACATAAGGAGTGACTCAAACACTAAAGTTATTACTGCTTTCAATGTTTTTCGTTTTCAGGTTTATTGCAGTAAAGTGTATTTTTATCTTTTTTGACAATTAAATGCTACTATCTTTGTCTTTTGGCCTATTAAAGCTGGAGTACCTAACTTTTTTATGTGACATTGTATGAACAAAAAATCGGACTACCAGATCACCTGAGAGATTGCTAATACTCATTTTCACTGAAAACAGCTGAAGGCATGACCAAAGACCAAGCTGTTTTGAGAGCAAGGGACTAGTTACATCGATTGTATGACAGTTTTTATGGTTTCAAAGTTGGACACTCCAGCTTTGACAATTTATGATTATCAAAATTCTATATAGACCAACTGTTGCATCCTGAGTAAACATGCACTTGCTTTACTTCTATAGGTCATTTTACTTTCCAAAGAGTATTCATCGTGATTTGGCTCCTAGACACTCTCTGAAAAGGGAAAAGCAGCACTGAAACCTAATCCTTAAAAATGCCTTTTGGAAGTGCTCCAGCAGAGTAATAGCCGGCTGGACGTGTGGGCAGAGAGTTGGTATGTTTACACTCTACAGTCGGAAGTGGAGCGCAGCCACTGGATATGATAAAGCCTTGACGTTATAATTAGAGATATTAGGAAAAGGGGTCTCTGTATGGTCCTAAGCCCTAAAATAAACCATGTGTAGCTGCTCTGGAGCCAACTCTGGGACAGGGAGGAGTAAATGGGTCCCATGTGTCGCCTCAGGGCAGTCTTGCTACCTTGCCCGGGTTTGCTCCTCTCCTTTTGTAATGAAAAGGTATTTGTTGTCACTGAGAGTAGCGTTAACTGCCAGGGAAACTATAAATTAGGCTTGTTTTTCAAAAAGAGGAAAGAAGACTCTAATCTGAGCCCTCCCCTGCTGCCTAGGGATAGAGTTTCTTAGGGGAATGTTTGTCTTTTGTGTCATAAATTTCCATTGTGGTGGAGGGTCTGAAAGTGGGGGTAGGTTGAAGCATTTACACTCTACCCTGCTGCAAATCACCAAATGGCCAGGTACTATCTATGCACAGCTCCCCCGCCTGGTATAAATCATGGCTCACTTTCCCCGCTCCCCACTGAGTGACGGTCAGCTGTTCACAAACAATCACACCGAATGCATTTGGCTTGCATTCCCTTTGTTCTGGATTAGGAAAGAAAAGTAGAGATGTTCTGCAAGCTTCTGTATTAATGCTTTTTGATTTAGCTAGTTAATACATTTTTGATTATGCACACAAAACGTTCTGTTGATTATGACGATTACAAAGCATAAGAATACAGAGTGCTTGCTTGCTTTGTTCCGGTCAGACCACTTTAGGGTCCTGTCTCCTTGCGCCCTGCTGGGGGGATGGAGCCTTGTTTCACTTTCAGAGGTGCCTCGTAACTTTACCTTGGCACTCAATCCTTGGAACAGTAAATGTAAAAATCAAATTTGGGGTCATACATACAGTTTAAGCACACTTTTGTGAAATATTATTAACTTTGATCATTTTTCACAAATTCTTAACTGCAGCAATGTCAAATGTCATTAAATTTCAGCAGCACACTTTTAACACCCCCATGTTTCCTGCATTCCTTTGCCACATGTAACAAAAACGTACTGTACAATGAGACCTGTGCGATGAGGGTCCGTGTGATTCATCACAATCAACAAAATGAGTACCCAAAAAATATATATACATTTTTAATATAAGCATGGTATGCTAATATAAGCATCCCTGTGCTCTCGAATGCATCTGCTAGATGCGTCTCAATAGGATCCAGTATAAGTGGTTACATGCCAGCAAAGACGCAGTAGAAGCGCTTCAAACCAGTTTCGCCAAACGGATTTTCACAGCTCAGAGTGCACAGGTTTGTTTTTATACATCTCGTTCAATTAAATTAAAGTGGTCTCGGAGAGAGCTTCGGGATTGTGCTTTTGTAAACATACTCGGTGTGGTCCTAAATCAGTTAACTTCTTTATATTTATAATTGCTCAGTGACTAGATTAGCACGTTCCAGATTTCCATGTTTCCCCAAAGTGCTAATTTGCTTTGATTGCGTCTCATTTAAAATTGAATAGCGAAACGCTGAAGAGCATTGAGTGCAGACAGTCGCTCGGTGAACTTTTGGGGCTTGCTAATGGCCTTTGTCCTAGTCTTTGGCTCCCTGCTAATCCTTTCTTTTGTCTCTTATCAATCCTTTTTATGCGTCTCCCACCCCTTCACTCTGCGCTGGTTAAATTGGCAAAGAAACGTGCCAATGTTTTCTCAATGTGGCACATGGAAAAGTCGACAGTTTGGACCCGCTGCATTCAACCATCACTGTAGCGAGGGCAGGAAATCCCACAAGTCATTCATGCAGCATATTGCTTCCTATCTTGGACTCAGAGTAAGTTCCAATGACTTGTGCCAAGCCCTTTCTCCCCTTGTTCACACACTGGTGATTTTTAGCTCAAAACTACTCCAATTTTAGAACAGTTCACTCATTAGTCTGATTTTAAACCGTGTCAATCATGGTTTTTGGAAGAAACCAGAAGAAGGCTTTGGCGTATATCTAAAATATGTCCTTTTTAATCCCATCAGTCTGCCACATGAATTGGATTTGTTTCATTTGTGAGATGAGCCATATCAAGGCAATTCTGGATGTTTAGTTATTATTTTCAATACAAGTTTCAATTCAATTTTGTTTTTTGTAAGGCCCTGAATGACAACAGCAGTCGTAATTTCACCCACAGATTATAGAGTCAATCTATTAGAGTGCAGGAAATGCAATATTAAGAAACACAAAGGAACCATAGGGTAGCAGAATGACCAATGCCTGCAAATGTCAATACTTGTTAAAAACTGGCCATGAACGTCCATAAATCTCCTGGATCATTTATTTTAAATATATAACTTGAAGGATGTGTTTGGCTCTTGTCATCTCATAAGAGATTGAGAATAAGAGATCATTTATTTGTCCAACAGTGGGAAAATGCCAGTGTTGCATCATAAGTTGCGGAAACGGTAGGAATGATGAGCACACCAGACATGTAAATATAGCACAACCATAACATCTCTATCTTTTAGCTTAAAAAGAAGCAGTGTAAGATGTTGTATACTCTAGAGCGAGCAACTTGTACTCCTTTTCGAACCAGGTACAAGCTACAGTGCCTTGCGAAAGTATTCGGCCCCCTTGACCCTTTCAACATTTCGTCACATTTCAGGCTTCAAACATAAAGATATAACATTTTAATTTTTTGTCATGAATCAACAACAAGTGGGACACAATCGTGAAGTGGAACAAAATTTATTGGATAATTTAAACTTTTTTAACAAATAAAAAACTTAATAGTGGGGCGTGCAATATTATTCGGCCCCTTTACTTTCAGTGCAGCAAACTCACTCCAGAAGTTCAGTGAGGATCTTTGAATGATCCAATGTTGTCCTAAATGACTGATGATGATAAATAGAATGCACCTGTGTTTAATCAAGTCTCCGTATAAATGCACCTGCTCTTTGATAGTCTCGGGGTTCTGTTTAAAGTGCAGAGAGAACCATGAAGACAAAGGAACACCCCAGGCAGGTCCGAGATACTGCGCCAAACGATATGTTTGGCGTAAAAGCAACACAGCTCATCACCCTGAACACACCATCCCCACCTCAGCTGTAGTTATCTGCAGTTCAACCAGAGTGATCATGGGCCTCTTGGCTGCATCTCTGATCAGTCTTCTCCTTGTTTGAGATGAAAGTTTGAAGGGACGGCCGGGTCTTGGTAGATTTGCAGTGGTCTGATACTCCTTCCAATTTCAATATAATTGCTTGTGACACTCTAGTGCAAGAATATTATTTATTTTAATGGACTGTAAACTATCTAAAAAATTATAAAAACGGAAATTATAAACAAAGGTCAAATGTCACTTTGCATTTAATGACTCTACATCCTGTATTAGTTTCTCTTTTAAGGAAGTTAAATCACAGAAATTAATTGACTAACAATGTTTCACCTGTAGATGTCTAATTGTTGTGTCTGTGCCCATGTCCTCGATGATTTATGGTGATAATTACTCTGATACTGATAAGTCCACCAATACTATCTTGGCAGAGAAAATGAAGCGCCATTTTTATTGATCTTAATGATGTGTTCCCTGACTGGTTAACTCGGATGTTTACTCTGTCTTATCACTGGTATTTGTTGTCGAGGCTGGTTTGGAATCGTTTGCGGCCCTGCCTACAGTCTCGGATACAACCTTTTATCTCTGTAAAGCACTCAAACATTTCTTTTGCTTCCCCTTATTCGGTTTGTTTTGGAAGAGAAAGTTGATCCTACCCTCTGGCCCCCTTTTCCTGCTGGGATTAGGAGCCCTGTCAGACATATGTGATCCAGGAAATACCTTTACTCTAGGCCCAAGTGGGGTCACTATAGCAACCACGACCTGCCTCTGCAAGCCCCCTGTACTGTCTGCACATGCTCAGTAGAGACGCTGTGTTGGATTATATAACCAAACAAACATTACTGCAAATAATTAATTGTTTCATAGCTTTCATGTGAGAGATCTATTCTTATGCATTAGTGTGTCTTAAAGCACCTGTACCTGGTTTTTAGTTTTATACATATGCTGTCCCAGCTTATTACTTGCTCAAACATTCCTTACATCCTGGTTACAATTTGAAGTTGTGAAAAGCACTTCAACATTTATTCAATTGTTCCTTTTATAAGAGCTTCTTTTCCAACATGCTCTTTGATAGTAATTTAGTTTGGCAGTTCTTGTAAAAAGAACATACTACACAAGCTCTGTCTGTGCAGCTTCTGACCTCTCATTGTTTGATTCTTTTGTTGAGACGGTGGGAGGGATTTGCTGATGTTGACATAAAGTTGAAGTACAGTATAGTTGTTTCCTGTGACGGGGATGTGAAAGGCCAAACAAATGTGGCTGTGATTTTGTGCTTACTTTGTACAACTACAGTTGTAAGATTTAATTAAAGGAAAAATATTATTCTTAAGGTTAAAATGGTATATTTTTCTCCTTTTATATAATGTTAGTTTTATGTGACAATATGAAGTATTCACTGTGTCATGTGAGTGCATTGATTGTGCATTATAATAATGCAATCAAATCAATTTCATTAAATTATTCAATCAGACATGGTTCATCAGGAAAATATCAAATAATTTAAAGATTCTAGATTCCTCAACGTTGAGGAAGGCCTATGAAGTAGTTAATGGTAAGTGTAAATCACGACACTATATGCTAAAATCAACTTGTCTTGGCTTCAACATTCTGTAATAATTTATATTAATATTAGCAACTTCCCAATATTAACTGGCATTATAGGTTTCTAAATGTTTTATACCGATGAGCAGTGTTGTATTAAAGAATGTGATTATCTTATTTATAGCACTTGTATTGGACTGTCATTTGAAGGAAGTTTCCCAACTTGTTCAGGAAAGACCTTGTAGGAAGTTGTAAAAGAAAATCACTTGTTAATATATCCTGCCGGAGATTATTTTTAGACCTGTTGTAGCAGTGCCAGGGAGCCTGACCCAAAAGTCAGAATTCCACATAAGTCGGACAGTGGAAATCAAAGGCAGCCCCTTTGTGCTTGGACAAACAACACTATTGTGATGGATGATGTGTCAGCAGAATTGGGTTACCCCCTCCCCCGGTGGGCTGTGTGGGGGCTCAGGTGTCTGCTCCTCACGGCTCTAATCACATTCAAGCTCTAGTCAAGGAGCTGCTGCCCACTGTGCCCAGCCTGCGGCACGACAGCTTTGACTCATTGGGAATCAGATTTTATGTGCGAGTCAGGTCAGACCGGGAAAGCGAGCAGTGGATACCTGTAAAAAGGAGTTTTGCTTGTAACATTTTGTCAATGATTCAACATTAATGTGAATGTCATTTAGATTTAAACTGAGAGTGGGAGAACTTGGAGGTACAACAAGTGTCTAACTGTTGCTGTAAATGGTATCTGGGCTCAATTAGTCAATTAATCAGTTGAACTTACCGTTTTCGTCAGCTATTAATCTCAAACTGATACTGAACTGATCTCAAATGATAGATATTTAAGAAAAAGGGCAAAAGTGAGACTAACCCCATGAGCTGATTAGTTTATTTCAGTTTTTAAGGCAGTTTTCCACTGTTTTAGTTGTTTTGCATGGAGTTGAGACCAGCAAGTGTTTGATGTTACTATAATTGTTTTGAGGATTTTTGTCACCCCATTATTTTAGTTGAGCAATCACACACATCTCTTTAGTTGACCAAGCATTTCATATTGTATACAAAATACAAATTTACACAGAAACTAAATGGAATATGGAAACCCAGCTTACAATATCGTCATAAGTACATAAATGATCTTATCTAACCAAAAAATATTAGAATACCAAAATGTATTGTGTTCATATTCATGGTATTCAGCAGTATTGGACTGGGAATAAAAGAACATGTTCTTCTCTGTTGAATGGTCATAGAACCAACAATAGAACAACATTTCTGGATTTGATGGCAGCTCATGTGTTGTTTCCATATTAATGTGGACGTTTTTTTGTCTCTTTCAGTTTCTCTCGAAACCCAAATAGAACCATACACTCTCTTATTGGGCGACCCTCTGGCTCTGAGCTGCTCCACGGAAGACCACGCTGTGAACTGGACTAAAGACCATGTGCTGGTGGTGGACGGGGAACACACTCACCTTCGTAATGGAGAGCTGGAGATCGAGGCGGTGGAACTGACGGACTCTGGGCTCTACACCTGCACGACCTTTGGAAACAACAGCCTCTATTTCAACGTCACTGGTGAGGGGAGATCATAGATATTCTCAGGATATTTAGAAATATAATCTATGAATAATATGGACTTGTTTTGTTGTAGTCGATACTGTGGCTTCATCTGAAGATGATGATGAAGATGAGGAGTCTTCATCAGAGGAAGCAAAGTTATTGGGAAGTCAGAAGAAGATGCGTAAGTTTGTTATTTTAAATTATTTATTCATTGATTCTTTGCAGCTGTTGCTTTTGGCCATTTGAGTGAGTCATCAGTTCTCAAAAGTCACTGACTGTTGGTGGTCAGTGGGAAAGTAGTTTAGTAATGAATCATCAGAGATGATGACAATAATCAGTCTATAGTGAGTAACAGCGGTAAACCTAACAGCTTACTTAATGTTATTAAGATCAATCACTCAGACCTCACTTCACTCATTTGTGGTTTGCTCAGAAGCTGAGTCCCAAGTGTGGTCGGCACGCTGCCTTCTGAGCACACCCTAATGATGCTGTGCAATGAGCTATAGACAAGCAAATAACACATGGGAATTAGAACAACTGTGGCTACAATACTTGTTTACAGCCATCAGGGCTCCTGGCTAACCTTTTTTGCGACTGTCTCCCAGATACCCAGACCCGAACTGCCTCCAAAATATTTTGTTCTTTCCCAAATAAAAGGCATTCTATTGTATTTGGGATGATATGTAAACAACACTACATTTCCTTTTTTTATTTGAAATAACCTTATCTTCTATTGTTAACGCCACTACATTTCAAACACAATTTTTATGAACGAATTTGTATAAGCTTATTTTGTATATTTTGTGTTTTTTTTTTTTTCTTCTCAATATATGTGTCTAAGTGTGCATTTCACACTTAGGCCTTTAGTAGTGCTCGTCTGATTTAATCCACCTCTCAATAGCCACTTTTTGGCTATTTATAATCTGATAGGTTTAGAGCATTATAAAAACACATCAGCGCGTCACTAAATATATTACTCCGTCTACAATGCCAGAGTCTGTGTGGTTACCATGGCAACAATACACGCTTCCTGCATCGGAAGTTAGTAAAGAGCGTCAAAAGCCAGAGAATATTGTTCAACTAGCAACAGAGGCAGTTTGCGTGTTCTAGCTAGCACGCTCTCTGACTATCCAGTCAAAGGGTGGGATTACGCTGACGTTACCGTTCGTCTGCTAGAAGACCTTGGTGTCGTCAACTCAAAATGTGATTGGTTAAAGAAACAGTCTGATCAACACTTATTGTATGCTACAGGGCCCGTAGAACTGATTCTGAAGGCCTCCAGGCAAATTTCTGAAATTTTCCTAGCAACAATTATGGCTGAATTGTGATATATATTTATTAAGTAGCTATTAATGGAAAAAATAATAGATGTAAAAATAATCATTATAATTAATATAAATCTGTAATTCAGATATTTCTTAGGCCAGCAGAGAGGCCTTGCAGGCCCTGACAGCCCACCACTGGTGTTGCCTGAGCGAGGGGGTATGGGTAACATTATGGGCTAGTCATACCTGTTGTCAGATCCAGCTCAAATTATGCCCTGAATAAAACCATACATTTCTTTCTTGGTCAATTTGGAAAGATTCTTGATAATACCGATGTTTATATACCCATAACTCTGCTCTCTTCTGCTTTTATTAGCTATGCCTCCACAATGGGTTCAACCTGAGAAAATGGAGAAAAAGCTCCACGCTGTCCCAGCCAGTAAGACTGTGAAGTTTCGTTGTCAAGCGAATGGTAACCCCACGCCAACTCTTAAATGGTACAAAAACGGCAAGGATTTCAAGAAAGATCATCGAATCGGCGGATTTAAGGTTTGTCTGATATTGTTTTTAAAATACAATGTTTGCTTCATATCCTCATCTTGTTATTGGAACTCAGGGACATGGATTGTGTGTTTTCTGTTATGCAGCGAAGCCACACTGTATTGTGTTTTACTCCAGAAAGTCCCTCATAAGACTGTTTTAATCACTCTGGCACTATTTCAAATGAAAGAATAACAACTGTTCACTCATTTTAACAGCTCTTGTAGTAAATGATATGTGCACAAGCTTTAGTCAGAGCTGTAAGTGATCTGATCACATCTCTACATTTGATCTTCAGCCCCTCCCTGTGAGCGAAGTGGAAAACCCAGACAAGTTTCACATTTGACCTCAAAACCAATGTTGGCTGAAATTCTATGCTTCTAATGCAACATAGTTCCATTAATAATTCCTTCAGATGGTCCTACCGTATGTGTGGGAGACTTTAGCCTACTTCATGTTTTATTTTTACTAGCCTTGATGCAGCTGTGGTTGCAACACCACCTGTTGTTATCTAGTGTTTCAACAATGACCAGGCCGTGTGTATTCATATTGTTAAACGCTGATAACATTTGTTGTTGACACATTTTACAACCGTCTGGGTCAGTCCTGTCTACTTATTGTGTTCGTTTCAAGCATATCTCATACATTTTCCTGAATTGTTGATCAAATTTCCTTTTGATGAGAATAGAGATATTGTATTGTTTTTGCAAATTACTTCTTTAGAATGTGAGTAAGGTTCTGTCTCGGCTGGACTTTGTGATCTGGCACTGTTTATGGGAAGTAGTAAATCTTTTATCTTTTATGCACCGTAACGTTTTGAGATGAGTCGGAGGTGGTTGTTGTGCAGGTGTGTGGGATACTTTACATGTTCACAGAGGGGAAAAGCCTTTTCTACATCTGCTTCTCCCATCATGTGCAGACCAGTCCAGCCCTGTCCCGTGTTACAACAGCCTGTCTGAGCTCCACAGCTGGAGCGTATTTAGGAGTTTCCTCTCAGCTGCCCGTTTCTACCCTGCGACGTAAAAGTTTACTCTTCAACAATTGATAGACCCATCATTTTGCTTTGTCTATCTCCTGTCTGCACCATATGTATTTACAAACTGTAAAACTGGCTGAAACTAAGGGTGAAGAAGTTTAAATATTTGTTCTGTTTGGACACAGTGATCAGTGCCCATTTCCCGCCTCATCGTTCAGACAAATTTGCTTTGCTGCAGTCCATATGTCTGCCGCAAATGCCTTGGTTGTGATTATTTACTTTTGTTTTGTTTTAGTGGCCAACTAAATGCTAATGTGCTATCTTTAGTTAGCTTGGTGTGAATGTGAGTGCTCTGAATGTTGCAAAAAGCGTTTATAAATGAATTGTGGTTATTAATAATGTCGACTTGAGCTGAAAATATTAATCAAGTGAATCAGGTCAAAGCAATAGTATTTGTAATTTTGTTGCCTTGATTAATTGGTTAATGAATGAGGGTTAGGGTTATGCAATGAATTACTTGGAAGTGCACAGAAGTCATTCCTACACTGTTGTTTCACACAGAAATGTTGCTGCATTCTGCCACTTCTCTAAAAGCGCCAATATGAAAAAACATTTAAGTTTCTTTGTAAAATATATTTTTCATGTTCGTTAATTTAGTTTCAATACGAACCATACATTTCCTATTTTTAAGTAATAATCAATATAACTTAATTACTGAAATATCTGTTAAAAAAAATGTATTGATAACAAATAGGACCTGGTTTTGCCCATAGCCATAGTATAACATATTGGAACAATAATATTTTTTTTGTCGTTAATCGAACCACACAGCACCTTCACCATCTGGCTCCAGTTTTTCAGTCTAGCTGCAAAGTTGTGCCGCAGCGTACGGGACGTCTCTCATTCCTCCCACGCTCTGCTTTTATGGCCAAACGTCTATTGTTCTTATCGTCTGTGTGAAGGATCGAGTAATGCAGACCACATGCACCAAACCAAGCACGGCACATCTGGCAGTAGGCAGCTGCACTCCCTCATCACGTTTTAGCTAAATGAGCGCGCTGTATGGTGGATCGGAGGTTTGATGTTGCTATTGCCTCCGAGGTTGACTGGTTAATCACACACTGCCGGTCTTGGCAGATTTATGGAAGAAAAATTATAACATGTCTCGGAAAATAAGCCAGACACGAGTTGGGGCTAACAAAGCTAAGACAGGTTTGGGCAGATGTATATAAAACAATATTTTCCTGCTCTTGTTAGGATCCGGTTTATCAAATGTTGGGTGTTGTCAGGAAGGAAGAGATTAAGGTTATTTGAATTGTCTTCACACATAATTCGTCTCGGCACATAGTTCAATTGTCAGTACTACCGTGGTTGTCAAAGTGTGGGATGGGTACATACCACAGTCTATGGTACACACTGGCTTCTTGTTTTTCAATGGGCTTTGTGGGTTGTTGTTGTTTTTAAGGCTTTTGGGCTACACTAGTCTGTCCTACATTTATTTTTTGTTCTATAAAATATTTGGATTAACACTCAATCTTTAATATTGTAACCCTGAATGCACCAATTGGGTTGTATTTTTGTTATAATGTGCCAGAGCATTATGTAATGGGCCAAAAGCCTTTGATTCTGAACCATATAATTTAGAATGATATCATATCGTCTTCCCTGTATTTAGATGGTTATCATATCGAGTCATGCGTATCAAGATTAGTCTGATATTGGCAGGCTCTGAGAGATACCCAGTCTTACATTTGACACAAAAAAACATTATGCATTTGTATTTCCAGGTGCGTGACCAGGCAGGCACCATCATCATGGAGTCTGCAGTGCCCTCGGACAAGGGTAACTACACCTGTGTGGTGGAGAACCAGTACGGCAGCATCAACCACACTTACCAGCTCGATGTAGTCGGTAAGAGGGCCCACACAATCACTGTAGTCTACCTTACTTACTTGCGCCTACTACCCCTCCAACTGTCTCCACTTGTCCGTCTCCAGTACTGCAGTCTACCGCTCTATCACTATAGTTCTCAAAGTACAAAAATCCAAAATGTTTTCACTGTATTTAATCAATTTCTTTGCACAAAGATTTAAGTGAAATCAGGTAAAATTCACCCCTTGCTGCTGTGAATCATACATTTTTTGAGCAAAGTTTGTGATTGTCTGCTCTTTAAAATAAATGTACAATCAAGCCTTTTCCTTAAACTTAGACTCAGATTTGACACTAGACGCCTGATTGCTTCCATTTCAAGTTCATAATTAAAGTCCATAATTATATCTTTGGTGATTTTCTGCAAAAGCATCAATTATTTCTCCCTGAAAGGAATTGCAGTCTGGCCGATAAAATGACATGGTGTTGTATAAGATTAAACAGACCTACTAACTATTACTATAAGCATCTTTCCATTTTTAGGTTTGTGTTTTGAAATGAGGGTAGCATTATAAAAATGATGCACACCCAGGTTTATCATAATGAATGGTTGTTTTCAGACTGTGTAAAGAAGGCCACACTTTAAAATGGGAGGACTTGTGCCGATTTGATTTATTACACCAGTACTGTATGTTTTAGTTTTGACGGCTCTTCTAATAAGTAGGGCCTTGTTGTGGTCCACAGAGCGCTCTCCGCACAGGCCCATCCTTCAAGCCGGGCTGCCTGCAAACCGCACTGTGGTGGTGGGCAGCCATGTGGAGTTTGAGTGTAAAGTGTTCAGTGACCCTCAGCCGCACATACAGTGGCTCAAACACATCGAGATCAACGGAAGCCGCGTGGGCCCCACCGGCCTCCCGTACGTCCGTGTGCTTAAGGTGAGAGAAACATGACCATGAACATCATGCAAACATTGAACTCAATCTCACCTTTGTGCATTTGCTTAAAGATCGTATGTTGAAACCCTCTATCTTTAAAGATGTGCATTTTCGTTTAACAATGGGGGAAAAAATGCGGTTTAATTGTATATAATCTTTCATTCAATATAATTGTATTTGTTTATTGAACTTTTATTTAACCAGGATAGTCCTTGGTCACCATGTGTACCACATATCCTCATTAGACTTAAAGCTGAGATGCCCATCTTTTTTTTTGTTTACATACATTAATACTTTTTTTGTCTTAACAGAAACTGCCTTATAAAATTATAATGTTGTGAACATACTGTCTTCATCTTGTTTTTTTTTTTCGAAGAAAGGATGGTCCTCACTTTTACATTTGTTTGTTTGAATAAGCTGATCTAAAATTGTGACGGAGGCCAAAAATAGAACATGTTACATGTATTTTAGTACAGTGTTACCTTTTAGTGGTTTTCAAGTTTGGTACCCAAGCTTTCATGATTCACGTCATGATACTCCATGTTTGATCTCATTCACACAGTTGCCTTGTTGTCACGTGCCCATAACATGTTGTTTATTTCCAGCATTCTGGGGTCAATAGTTCGGACGCTCAGGTGCTGACCCTCTACAATGTGACTGAGGAGGAGGGCGGGGAATATACATGTAAAGTGTCCAATTATATAGGAGAAGCCAATCAGTCGGCCTGGCTAACGGTCACCAGATATGAGCCGTCAGGTAACCACCACCATCACCGCTGCTGCTGCTGCTGCTATGGCCCAACAGACGATCCTCCTGGAAGCATAGAGCCATGTTCAACCAAGCTGTTTCTCTCCTCCCTCCCCTCATTTTTTTTCTATTGCCTCGGTGCTCCTGACTGTAAATGACGCTATGGAAAATTCCCAGCAGAACAGTTGGAAGTGTTTAGACCCTGGGTCGTGTTGCCTGTGTTGCCTGAGCTGTGCCCTCCTAATAAGGGCCTCTATGCCATCTTCTTCTATTACTGCCGCTCTCCTGCTCTTCAAAGTCCTTTGTGTTTATTCCACACTTCACCCATCCTCTCCTACTGCTGTTTTTACGACTTCACTTTCCACCAAGAGGCTTAATGAGATTATTATAAACAAGATTATTGGATAGGACGTGTCGGCATCAAAAGTATATGTTCTACCACAGCTGTTGTTGTTGCCATTTGGCCCATAAAATAGGAAAAAACAGATGCAGTGCTATTATTGCTACAGGAAATAAAAAAGAATACTGCATCATGTGTTAGCCTCAATATAAAGTTCACCTGAAGTCTGTTCTGGCCAAGCACATATGAAGGCACAGTACTTGAACCATGAGCAAGACGTAGTTAAGTTATTTTACCTTTTACCACCTGGGTAATCCTATGTGTGGTTTAGTTCTGCTTAGCATGTGGTTTAAGGTTGGCTTTAATCTAAATGTAGATCTACTCCCTGCTAGATGTGCTTTGGCTTGCTCTTGTCCTGGTCACTATGGTGTTAAGTCCTAAATCGTATCCCACACTTAAATCAATTGTAGAGTTTTATAATTTTGTGTTTGTTCTAGTGAAGTGTAAGACATTAGAAAGATGGCGTGTGCTTGTGTGTGTGCGATTGTGCTGTTCTGCTGAGGACTTTTCCACGGCCACCATCTCGTGCATGTGGAGATGAGACGAGGTGTTGTGGTGATGGGATAGCCCAGGTCTGGACTCCGCTAACCCCCCTCCTCCACTAACCAGCTGGAGGGCTCTCCCTGACAGACCCCTCTGCAGTGGGCTCTTGGTGGTGCCTTTGGGGCCGATGGTGTTGGATCAAGAATAACAACGCTCTTTTTCTGTCTTTCAAAAGCTTTTACTCATGGTTACCTTTTCCTTCTTGGGCCTCTTGTTGGGTCTGCTTCCTCTGTTATTTTCTAGACCGCTGGCCTTAACACCACGGACAAGGAAATGGAAGTCCTCCAACTGAAAAATGTGTCTCTTGAGGATGCTGGGGAGTATACCTGCTTGGCGGGCAATTCTATCGGGTTCTCTCATCACTCTGCATGGTTGACCATTTTGGAAGGTATCAGTGGTCCTGTCTTTCTATTTTCCATTTTTCTTCTATGTGTCTTTATTCACTCCTGCCTGGCCATTCATTATCACATTTATCAGAACGAGGTTAGTTTGACCTCAGCTCTGTAGAAGAATGTGTGGGGAAACCAGGGCAAGTTGTTCCACTAAACTACTCTTTAGTGGAAAGCTAACGCTCAGCATGGCTCCTAGCTCCTACCCCATTCAACTGATAAGATGGGAGTGTGCGTGCCATGCTCTGCTTATGACTGTAACACTGAAGGCCAAACAATACAAAAATGATAACATAGTTTTAAGGCGAGACACTCCAGTTTTGGCTTGAAATGAAGGAAGACCGAGCAGGGCCTTATTCAAAAATCTTAACCTAGATTTTAGTAGAAGTGTCAGAAGATCAGAGTTGACATCCAATGTGATCACCTAAAATCTGATCTGAACTAGGGCTGATTGAGTGACCCATCTTTAAAAGTATGTTCGCGATTTTAAAAAATATTTCTGCGTGAAATCATTGTTTTAATTATAAGTTATGCTCGGTGCATGGTACATTTACTATTTCAATTTGATAATACAAATTGAAATAGTAATTATGATACTTCGGATGAAGAAAAAACCAACGGAATCTCGAACACTTGGGATATTGTAATATGTGAGGTAACATGTTAGGTAATATGTTTGTATATATTAAATCAAAGTTTTAACTTTTCTTGACCAAAAATCGTAAATATTTGTTCAATTCAAATGCGTTTTTCCGGACATTAGCCATAACTTCATAAAATTTGAAATTGTAGCATCCCGAGTGGGAAGATAGTTATGTACTGAATAATAGAATGGATCTCCTGCACAGTAGCCCTGCAGTGTCTCTCCTTAAACCACCTGACACCAGGTTATGGGTCTGGGACAAGTAGGACGTCACGATCACTAAAGGCTTGTTTGGCAGCTCTAATGAGACTTTTCTTTGAACTCTCTGTACTCTCTGGTCTATAATTGGTGTTGTTGGTGAAAAGCTGATGTTCTTTGACAAGCTGGGTAAATGACATGTATTGCTGATGTCATTTCCTGCTGCGAACTTTGATAATTGCCTCCCTGAACTGGAGTGGTCCCATTCACGGGGGTCCAAATGGGCATCCGTCCAATTATCAAAGAGCTTGTCGTTCAGCCTCTGCACACAAGTAGCTTGTAGCACTTGTGTAGCTGGTGTTTTCGGTTAGGGCAGCCGTGGTTTGGGATAGTTACTGTGGTGGTTTTCACCTAATGATTTCAACCACAAACATGAAGCTATCAAATTAATATTGCAACATGTTGTGACTACTTATTATTTTCAGAGACTTTGTGCTGTAAATATTGAGAGGCGACTTGCTCACAGTTGAAGTTCTTGTTCTAATGAACATAATGTCTGCCCAATTCGAGACGAGGCGACTCTGAAGAATGTGATGCAATCCATTTAAAACGTTAACTTTGAGCTAATTATACAAAAAGAGTTGTTTATGCAACACATTTTTTAGTAATTGTAAAGTATGCTATGAATGGGTCTTATCACACGGGCAGACCCATAAATCACTGCGTACATATATTTGGTCTATAAACAAGGGCTGATAAATGGTTATTTTATCAATATCCAGATATCCATCCATCCATTTTCTTCCCCTTAATCCATTTCTGGGTCGGGGGGGTGGCAGTCAGAGCTGCACCCAGTACACAGAGCACCAGCCCCTCACTGATCCTCTTGCAGGTGGTGAGTCCACAGGAGCTGAGATCTTTCAATGGGGGCTTCAGGCAAAGTGGGGTTAAGTGTCTTGCCCAAGGACACAACGACAGCAGTCATCAGTGGGAGTTGTGAAGTAGGTCTTATGGTGGGCTCGAACCCACAACCTTCAGGCTCAAAGGCCAATGCTCTACCAACTGAGCCACTGTCGCCCCATATCCAGATATAAACATTATTAAAGGCAGTGCATCTGGTCTGTCCAATGTAACTGTTGTGTCCATATCAGATGAATAAATAAATAATTATTATTTGTATAAAACATATAAAAAGATAGATATCCATGTGCTCGCCCTGCAGGTGCTGCTCTGGCAGTCACAATACATAATCACAAATCAAAATAAATAAACAGACCTTTTCTGAAAAATGTGTACCGTATCACTTTTGAGATACTAAATGGCTGAATATCTAAATGTTGTCCATATTTATCAGCCCTACTCAAAACCCTATTTATTTTATTAGTCAAAATAATAATGTCCAGTTTTTATACCAAAGGAGCTGGTTAAAGCCTGAGTTAGATCTTAAACTATAAACTATTTTTTTAAACATATCATAAATATCCTTCTTCCTGCACAAAGCCATATCCCAAACCAAGGCTTTCACAAAACCATTAAACAATTACATCTGCGGGCTGGTGTTTTCAATGAACGGGAGGAAAAAAACACAATTTATTACATGCTAGTTGTTGAAAATTACTTTTGAGTCCACAATGTGAACATGCCACTAATAGCACAAGTTATTTTGTAATGTACAACCTTTTTAGAGAAAATCATTGGAATTGGAAATGCACCATGTTAATATTTTATACTAAATGTTCTGAAGGTGTTCTCATTAAATACTTATCATACAGTGCAGTGCAAATATCATTTAGATGAGATTATTTATGTCAAATCTACACAACATATTGTCACATACATTAACGTAAACACAAATCTAGATCTACAGGTGAAAATGGAATATGGTTCAAAAGTCCATTTACTTTTGTATTTCCATGTATAATGTGAAGCTAATACACGACAGGCTCATTCCAAGCAAAATGACATGTACAAAGCCTTTATTTGTTAGTGTTTGTAGTCATGGCTTACAGCTGGTAAAAGATCCAAATAAATATTCAACAAAAAATTGAATATTTTGAAAACTGTAAGCAAACTTATGTTCAAATCTGCTTCTTACGAATTCGGCAAACACCATGGGTGACGTCAGCACTTGTCTAGTCTTGTCAGTCTATATTATCTATTGGTTTCACATTTTAAGTTGAATTACAGAAATAAATTAACATTTGGACGAGTTTCAACTGGATATTTTGTACATTAAATGCAATTTAAAGAACATCAGGGCTAAAAGGAAATCCCTTTGATTTTGGTGATTTGAGTCAAAAAATCACACGCTTTGATTTGTATCTTCACTCTTTGTGTCCTTATCTCACACATAAAAGATGAAACGTAGACAAACTCCTCTTATAGTGTGGAACCAATATATGATGTATTTGTTATCATTTTGATGACTATGGCTTTCATTCCATCTTCTAAATGAGGTTTTTTTACAAGCTGTGAGCCATTTATTAACATTATAACAAATATATTATTGATATGAATCAGTTGATCATTTATTAGTTTCACATTGTAAGTTGAATTACAGAAGGAACGTATTCTAATCCTCCCCAGTATATGGCAGTGTATATCCCACATAGATGTCAGTTTGCGTTTGCACTGCACTGTGTTGTTTTCAAGTTACTCTGTGTTCTAGTAGCCTTTTCTGACGTGTTTCTCATCACCTCACCCCACGTAGCAAAGCCCTCTTACCCTCCAGCCAACCACACATACCTGGAGGTGGTCATCTACTGCGTGGGCTTCTTCTTCATCGTTGTCATGGTGGCCATCACCGTCATCGTCAAAATACGCACATCGTCCAAGAAAAGTGACTTCAACAGCCAGCAGACTGTGCATAAGCTGGCCAAAAGCATCCCCATGCGCAGACAGGTAACAGAAAGTAGATAGGGGTTTGCATCCACATCTTTGCATAGGTTGTTTGGGGGTCATTTAGTGCACGTGAATGAATGAGGTCACTGAGGTTGTCACAAAGCAGGACAAAGACAAAAGTAACAATGGACTTCCTAGAAAGCCTATTGAGATTAAGAGAACCTTGTCCCACAGTGAGGAAATGTCAGTGCATCACAAGTTTCAGAACACACAATTAGTCAATATTAAGTTCAGCATATAACTCTATACTTTAAATATATGAAATATTTAGCTATAGCACCACGGATCATCTTGAAAGTTGAATGGGCCTTCCTACCATCAAATTATATATACACCCAATTCGAGCCTGATCCGTCAGACCCACATGATTCAGCAACACACTAAGTTGCCTCTTTTCATGGGCTCACACAGAAATGCATCTTACTAAGTAGTTTTCAAATGTTGTTGTTGGAACTATTTGAGCAGAAAGGTAACCGCTTTTCCAGTAAGTCGCAGAGGTACGTTATTTTTCTTTTCCCGTTTTCATAGTTCCCCAGTTAGAGTGAGTGACCTGACAGCAGTGCTTGTGCCGCTTCGGGAGAGTAATGTCAGTGTTCTTCACATCAGGTCTCTGTGGACTCCAGTAACTCCATCCACTCAGGAGCGATGCTGGTGCGGCCCTCACGCCTCTCCTCCAGCGGCTCCCCCATGTTATCAGGAGTGTCTGAGTACGAGCTGCCTCAAGACCCACGCTGGGAGCTGTCCCGGGACAGGTAACTGCTGATAGATCCTGGCTGTGCAAACAAAACAGCCTCATGTCTTAATTACACTGCATATTCATGTTTTATAATAGCAGTAGTAGTAATAATAATATTATTAATAATACATAATGTAAAATAATAATTATTATTATATTAGTAATAATTATGATAATACTGCATAATATTATTACTATTAATAATGAAATAATATTAAGTTAATATAATTATTATAATATGTATTAATATGAATGTAAAAGGATAATTATATTAATTAATTGAATATGATAATATTCTGGGGGGCGACAGTAGCTCAGTTGGTAGAGCATTGGCCTTTGAGCCTGAAGGTCGTGGGTTCAAGCCCACCGTAAGACCTACTTCACGACTCCCACTGATGACTGCTGTCGTTGTGTCCTTGGGCAAGACACTTAACCCCACTTTGCCTGAAGCTCCCACTGAAAGATCTCAGCTCTCCACCTGCAGGAGGATCAGTGAGGGGCTGGTGCTCCGTGAACTGGGTGGCATCTCTGGCCACCCCCCCGACCCAGAAATGGATTAAGGGGAAGAAAATGGATGGATGGATGGATGATAATATAATGTATTAAGTTGTATCATTAATATAATTTGATTATTTTATATTAAATTATTGTTATTATTAATACAATATAATGATTCTATTAATATGAATAATATTATTAATGATAATAATATACTTTAAATTGGACTGGACCAGGAAATTCTATTGGCAAAAAATCAGAAATTAAGATCAATGTAATTTTGTATTCATTGTTTGCAGTGCACTGTAATTTCCCATAATAGTATGGTGTATCAAAGCTGATGTACCTATCTTATTGTTTCTTTGTCCCGAAAGAAGTCTTGTAAAAGTAAAAGGTTGTCATTCTGTCTTATTGGAAGACATATCTGCCCTGTGAGTCACTATTTGACGCTTTGGGCTGACAGCTGACTGCCTGAGTGAGGGAGCTTTCCTGAAATAAATGAAGGAACTAGTTAAGTAGATTCTGTATATTTTATAGTTATAAGGCTGGGGTACCTAACAAACTACGACAAACCAAAAACAAATATATGCTGAAGATGTTGCCTCATGCTGTTGAATATATTGTGTACTTTTCTTTGTGTACAGTGACATTAGCCATAGCCATTAGCCGCCATATTTTGCTCAATACAGGCTGCTGAAGACCAGGGCCAAATTTTAAAGGCGTGAAAGCCACTGGTCTTCCTCTGGCTGTACAATAAACCTTTACAGATTGTGCTATAGCTATAAATGCCTTAATGTATCTTTCGTGTTCTCTCCCAATTCAGGCTTGTTCTTGGAAAGCCTTTGGGAGAAGGCTGCTTCGGACAAGTGGTGATGGGAGAAGCTCTGGGCCTCGACAAGGAGAAACCCAACCGAGTGACCAAAGTGGCTGTCAAGATGTTGAAGGGTGAGTTTGCCGATTTTATTGCAACGTGGATTGTTAGTCGTGAATAGCAAGTGTCCGGAAGTACATTGCCTTGATTCTGGTGTCGTGTGCTTTGGATTAGGGATGTAAAAAACTATGAATTTTCATGACCGACCACCGAGCCTCATTAACCGGTTGAAACCGGTTAACCGCGTAGTTTAAAATAGTCGACGTTCTTTGAAATAACAGCCATTTCGAGCCGCGTAATTTTCATAAGTGCAGCTCTGCGTTCTACTGGATCAGAGTTGAGACAGCGGCGCCCAAACCCGCAACAGCTCCGGCACCTTTGCGCACAGAGAACTGCTTTTTTAATCTTCCCATTCTGCTGTGCTGCGGGTTAATACCAAAACTTTCTAGCAGCAAACGACGGCTCGTTCACATGGTCAGAGCAGCGAGTGACGAGCCACGTCTCACAGGTCTTCACAAAAGTTTAAATACAAGTGATGTGTGCGGAGCTGATCCCGAGGACCATAAACACAAACATCTTCCATGTGGTTTGACTGGAGCCGCGTATTTGTGCGAATCCTTTGGGCTCCGTGACACAGAGGAGCGCGACAGACCGGTATGTGTGTGTGTATGTATGTGTGTGTGTGTATGTATATGTGAATGTATGTATGCTTGTATGTATGTGTGTGTGTATGTATATGTGTGTGTGTGTAAATGTAAGCTCCAATGTAGTTCTGACCCGCGCCAGTGTGCAACTTTGACGGTAACAGAGGGGAGAGATGATGCGTGTGGATGTTACGTATGGAGAGGGGGAGTGTGTGTGTGTGTGTGTGTGTGTGTGTGTGTGTGTGTGTGTGTGTGTGTGTGTGCGCGCGCATATGTGGCTCGTGCGGCGTGAGAGTCTATAATACATGGGCGCACACAGCTAGATATGGACCCGCTCGTCACACCGTGCAAATAGGGCTTAAAATAGCGTTATTAAGAGACCTCCCCTTTTTCTCTTTTTTAACCGACAGCTTTGACCGGTTAACGCTGTGACGGTCAACCACCGGTTAAACGGTCGCCGATTTACATCCCTACTTTGGATGTGAGCCAGCAGGAATATGGGAGAGGGGAATAAAATTTATGAGAACCCATTGCAACGGTTTGAAGCTGTGTTCATTAAACTCTGCAGGGAAAAGGGCCATAATGGAGGAAACGTGTCTTTTTATAGATTTGTACATTGAGCAAATGTTTTTATGGACAAGAGCTTTCTCCATGTATGTTCTCCTGTATTAGTCACGCGTTTTCCATTTTCTGAACTGACCAATTTTCATCCACAGCTGATGCCACAGAGAAGGACCTGTCAGACCTGATTTCTGAAATGGAGATGATGAAGATAATCGGGAAGCACAAGAATATAATTAATCTTCTTGGCGCCTGCACTCAGGATGGTGAGCGCTGACGGGACTTGACCTGCACTTTTACTTGCAGTGCATAGTTATTGCTCCAACGTTCATTACACTTCTAATATAGTCCCGTCTTGGGTTGAGACCACACTAAGTCCTTTTCAAGAGCCAGTAAGACAAACACACGCTGCAGTCACACCCACTAAGCCGTTCGCCGGTGAATGAGTTGACCTCTGCTACGGCCGTTTCTTCTTCGCAATCATCTGTGACTGGGCCTTGTGCAGAAAACCACTAACTTCCATCGAACTGTGAATGACCTGTAAAAACAAATGGAACAGAAAATATTTCAAAAGTTTGGAGAAGGTCTCAACATTTGACAAGATGTAGATGTTGGAAGTGAACTATTCCAAGTCAACATTGCCAGAAGAAATGTATATATTTAAGGGAAGATGCATTGAGTTATAATTATATTTCTATTCCCATTATTTGATGTTTGATATTTTATCCATGTAACCAGGGACTACTAATGGAAGAACAGATCTGTCTTAGTCTGACTCTAAGAAATAATTATGTATTTATTTGGAGTGGGCTGAAGCAAAAAGCTAGCTATAGACACCAGCGGATCAGGATTGTCAACATTTTGGAAAATCTCAATATTTAATTAGTAATATTATCCACTGACATTTGGAGTGGAAATTGCTGCTCTGTTTATACTGCCCCAGCGTTGTTTGGTCAGGCGTTTTGGCACAAATGGAAAACATAAATATTATTGAATCTGAATCTGAAAAATGTAAATCAGCAAAAGGGGGCGTGGCCTGACATATTACAAACTACAGAATTCCCCCTATAATTGAATAACACTTGGATTGACTATAACTTGTTCCTCGTGTTTCAGGGCCTTTGTATGTGATCGTGGAGTATGCCTCGAAAGGGAACTTGCGTGAGTACTTGCGAGCCCGCCGACCTCCGGGCATGGAGTACTGCTACAACCCAGACCAGGTCCCAGTGGAGAACGTGTCCAGTAAAGACCTGGTGTCCTGCGCCTACCAGGTGGCCCGAGGCATGGAGTACCTGGCCTCTAAGAAGGTAAAGGATAACAAACTATAAATAATAAACGATAAATAAACAATAACTATCTGATCACACACGACCCTTTGGTTCTTCTGAGCTCGCAGCACGTTGAGCTTTGCGGCTCAGCGGCAGATTTCCGGGAAGATCAAGTCTAATAATGTGTTGTTTTGGTGCAGTGCATCCACCGAGATTTGGCTGCTCGTAATGTTTTGGTAACTGAGGACAATGTGATGAAGATAGCAGACTTTGGACTGGCGAGAGACATCCACCACATTGATTATTATAAAAAGACCACAAATGTAAGTTTCTACATTTCTGCTATATGTTACTTTTTATTTGCTTATTGTATGCCACCTTTTAATTTCCATTTCTGATATGATTTAAGTTCTATACTTTCTGTAAAACGACAGTGGCTCAGTTGGTAGAGCATTAGACTTTGGGCATTAAGGTCATGGGTTCGAGCCCATCGTAAGTCCTACTTCACGATTCCCACTGATGACTGCTGTCATTGTGTCCTTGGGCAAGACACTTAACCCCACTTTGCCTGTAGCCCCCACTGAAAGATCTCAGCTCTTGTGGGCTCACCACCTGCAGGAGGATCAGTGAGGGGCTGGTGCTCTGTGTACTGGGTGCAGCTCTGACTGCCACCCCCCCTGACCCAGAAATGGATTAAGGGGAAGAAAATGGAGGGACTTTCTGTAAAACAATGATGTGAATCCTTTCACTCTCAGGGTCGGTTACCAGTCAAGTGGATGGCTCCAGAGGCTCTGTTTGACCGGATATACACGCACCAAAGTGATGTGTGAGTACCACATGTAGTACATGATACTGTGTGCATAAAGGCCTTCTCCAGACTTCTGTTGTGTTTGTGTGTGCAGCTGGTCGTTTGGGGTGCTTCTCTGGGAGATCTTCACCCTGGGGGGCTCCCCGTACCCGGGGGTCCCAGTGGAGGAGTTGTTCAAGCTCCTCAAGGAGGGTCACCGCATGGACAAACCGTCCACATGCACTCACGAGCTGTAAGCAAAACTGTTGTCCATTATGTTGTTTATTATGTCTCAAGGGAACCATTCACAAGGCTAATATGAACCACTGCTCTGTTAACTTTATTAGTTCCGCTAACAGTATTCAAACCATGAGCAACTGCATCACAATGTAATAAACTGCAATTTCTATAAGTGTAACTTTAGAGTTTATTACTAGACTGAGGTAATTGTGCCTTTTTATTTATAATGTTTGTGGTGTTTGTTTTAACAGCAGGCTGAGTATTGTAAACTAATAAATACACATTCAATGTATATGTACTGGACTCTGTGGGGGTTTATAATGGCTAACATGATCCTTCAATCTAAGACCGCTCTGTGATACTCAACAGATATAAGAGTTAGCCAGACTTTTTTCAAATAATATGAAATAATATGAAATAATTTGTCTCATGTTCGCAGGTATCTGATGATGAGAGACTGCTGGCACGCTGTTCCTTCTCACAGACCCACATTCAAACAGCTCGTGGAGGACCTGGACCGCTGCTTGGCCATGTCCTCAAACCAGGTCAGTCACATAAACATCTCGTATCTTGTACAAATATTTTGCTAATTGTTATTTTGCAAATATTTTGCTAATTGTTGTTTTGCTAAATGTCTATGATTCAATATTTTTGTATCAGTAAAACCATACATTGCGTATGTACTGTTACATATTATAGCGTTAAAATCAAGCTATACCTAGCTTAATACTGAATGAATAAACAATGAATACAATGGAAAATGGCCAGTCTGTTGCTTGATCATGATGCCAATAATCTCTCTGTAACCGTGATGTATACTATGATGATGCATATTTAAAAGCGTGTCTTCTCGTTGTAGGAGTATTTGGAGCTCTCCGTTCCCTTGGACCAATACTCGCCCAGCTACCCCGACACGCGCAGCTCTACCTGTTCCTCCGGCGAGGACTCTGTCTTCTCCCACGAGGCCAGTGCAGAGGAGCCCTGTCTGCCAAAGTTCCCCCCTCAGTCCAACGGCGCCGCCATCAAGAAACGCTGATACCTCATTTATGAACACGGTGTATTATCCCCGCTCTCTGCCGCGTACGCTCCATACTCCAGCGATGAAGGACAGAAAGGAGCTTAAAGATATCAAGTTGAACGTTTGGACACCAGATCTCACATATGGACTGGAGACTGGAGTAGCCACTTTTCTCCTTTTTGAGGCTACTATAAGAAAAAGGCACTTTGCTTTGGACTCTCCTGCTTTTGGACATTGTATAAAGAAAAGAGCAAACACTATGGACACCACTTGCATCGGGCATTTCTCTGTTAGAAAATCAAAAAGACTGACGTGTCAGGTTTTGATCATATTTGTTTATCTACCTTTGGTCTGTTTAAAGTAAAGGACTCCACATTGCCTTATACACGGGTCTTTCAGCAACATTATGTAAATATAGTTAGAAAATTATAAATATGAATATATATTTACACTTAACTGTTATTTTTATTACCATAAATGATTTATTTCTTTTGTACAAGGATGTTTTTGCTTTTGGATCTAGTCTATAGGGGTGACGATGAGAATATATGGCCACATTGCAGCCCCTTGAATTGACCAAACTGCTCTACTGTTTGTCTGAGTACAGTAGAGCTCTACTGTACTCTATATGGCATAGAAATATACAGACTTCTTTTCTCAAACTGTAATTTCAACTGCTTTAAACAACACAATTTGTAGTGTAAGTTAAATCATTGTCCAGGACTTTCTATGTTCCACTTGTTCACAAAAATATGAATTGTTTATTGTGTGCGTATGTCGGTCTGTGTGAATGATAGCGACAGTTGTTTTCTCCAGTCAACGTCGTGCACTTAACATTGTGCATGGCTTTAAGTGATTTTAGTTTATGCTGTAACAGGAGGAACATTTAATTCACTGCCATATAACTTCTGACGCAGGGTTGACGAAAGAGCATGTCATCGTGAAAGGATTACATTAAATAAAAGGTGATTGAAAAACTACCCTCTAAAGCTTTCAGAGTTTGAAGTACATTCTACATTTACAAAGATGAAATACACCGCTTCTATGGCACAGTCCCTGATTAGATATGATAATGCCTTGCTGACTTCATATGCCCAGCTGTTGGCCAGTGCCACCAGCCACCGCAGTAAACATGTCATTTATGGGAGAGCGAGTGGTTTGGCAAGAGCAGAGGCTACACTTAAAACTATCAGAGCGACCTCGGCTCCGCTCTGGCTTGGTGCCACTGGCGCTGCATCACCTGGAGTGTGGTCTCCATGCGACTGCTAAAAAGAGCTCTTGTTTACATGGAAATGGTTCCGTCTCAATATATCAAAACACAAACATGTTCTGCTTTTTTTTTATAGTGTTTACTTTTGGAATTAAAGGTGGGGTACCTAACTTTTCTGTTTCATGAGTGTGGGGTTAAGTGTTTTGCCCAGGGACACAACGACAGCAGATATTATTGGGAGTAGATGGTCTAGCCTTGATATGAATGATGAGGTACTGCATACTTGATTTTATGGTTTTATCTTTGAATACCTTTTGACTGAAAACATTATTTGTCAAAAGGGCGAGCAGTTCAGTCTTCTTTCTAGGGCAGTAGAAATAAGACTGCACTGTAGATAGATTTTGTCTAAAAAAATAGTTTGTTCACAAACATTTTTTTTTTTTTCAGGCTTAGGACTTTATTGAATTCATTGCAATCCTCATTTCCTGAGTTGCCTGCTAGCAGATAAACGAGATGGTACTTAGAAAATGTATTTAAGTTTGCCCGATTTGCTGCACACTTACAGCTTTAGCTCCATGCTTCAGGGCAACAGTAAATACATGGGAACGATTCCTTATTGTTGTGGTAGGCATGTCTGCGAGGCTTAGAAACCGGGAGTAATAAAAGTATGCTTTGTGTGCTGTGGCTGAGGTGACGATGGAGAGCCCTATATAAAAATAGTCTACATAAAAGCACCTCCGCTCTAACTGCTATTAGATGGATTGTCTTATCACTTCTGACAGATGGCACAAATCGAGTTTAGTGAGGGAACAATTTTTTTTACCTATATCTTGTGTAGCAACAGTCTTCTGATAAGAATAACATCTATTTGTGGCAGGAATGTGCTTGTTTTTGTTTATAGGCGCCCTGGTCGGGGAGTTGAGTGGTGATTAAGTCATTATCAGTGGAGGAGATGACAGTAGAAGTGTTTTGGGTGGGAGATTAGAGCCTGATGAGTGAAATATGTAAATTGTGTTGGGAATAGAAGAATCTCTGGCATCTGAGGCGGAGAGAACAGTGGCACGGGTGAACTTTATGCCGACAATCAAAATGGGCAAATAGAAATTTGACATTAACAGGACCGATTTATCCACTGCCCTCTAACAACATTTTTATCTATAGTCTCTTTGGAATCTTGTGATTATTTTATCAGATATCGGATTTTTGCAGCCTTCATTCTGTTTATTTAGGCAATTTTTATTTTATTTTTTTACAATAAATATGAAATTTACTCTGCAGTGTGCTATTAAAACCTGAATAATGCATTGGCCAACTGTAGAAGGCTGGGATCCAACATCATGTGGAAATGTAATAATAAAAAGCCATTATAACCATTTTTTAAAAAGGTATTTCTCCAAACTAATTGGCTCTGTGCAGGTCCTGGTGTTTTCCAGCCGTGTTTGGCATCTCTGTGGGTAAGTTGGTCAAATGCAGTAAATCATATCTGAATTCCTCATTTGCTGCGTGTGAGTGATTGATATGAGCCAGATGCTGTGCCTGTTTCCTGTTCGCTGTTATTGCACGCATTGCTTTGTGTTTTTGTTTACCAGAAAAGGCCCTGAAATATGTCTGCCCATAATATTAACATGGTTATTGTTGTGTGCATAGTATGAACACATTGAATATTGAAGTATTTATCATGTTTTGAGTATATTTTGACTAGATTTACAACCAAAACAAGCAACTTTGGTCCTGTTTAAGGCAAATCTCTTTGTTCTGTTAGTTGCTTATTTTAAAATTTCAACTTTTATAATGCGTTGTCCCAATGCTTGCTTTTGTTCCTCTTTTGCTGTTATTACCAGCCAGTGACATCACCAGGCTACGTTACAGATCATATCTGTGGAGAGGCGAGTCCACAGACTTTAAGGAGTATCTAACTTTCAAAACGCAAAACAACTAATTATGTAATCAAATCCAACTAACTCGTTCTTTGCTCTCAAAACAGTTTAGTTCTTTCACTATCATTCACATGCAAAAGAAAAGACATCCCTTCCCTCACTCAACAAATAAAATGTGACTCACAGGGCTCATAAGTATACAAAAGATAATGTTTTATAATACCATTATGACGTGTTTTGATTTCCTCTTGAAATTATACTTTTAAAAGAGTAAATATGAAGCTAGTACCCCATCTTTAACCTCTTAAGGATCACCCTCCCTGTACAGGGAGGATTCAGTTATTTTTCATTCAACAGCATCAGTATTAGAATTCACTTGTGTCAATATAGTCAAGCTATATCTCTTTTGAAAGCTTATTCCCACCTCTATACACGTATTATGTTCAAATAAACATTAAATATAACCAAAAGTAAGAATAAGTAGTCAAACTGTATATATGTTTAAAATATATATTGTCGTTTCTTACCTTGTCATGCTAATATTTGCATGTAAAACACTTTTGCACAGTTGGCACAAAAATGGACCACTTGTGCCGAATGTGCCCATTAGTTACAAAAAAGCCCCCAACCTCCAAATAGTTCCACCTAAAGGTCTAAAATTTCATACAGGTGTTTCCAACACCACAAACATCTGCTCTGGTGAGTTTGAACAACATACCATAAAGTATGTCTTCAGAAGAACCTTTTGAAATTGCCTTTTTTTTTTCGAGACAAAAAAAACTAACTTTGACTCATGTTTGAGAAGGTGTAGTGCAGACTGTGTCCTTCCTAACAAACTGTAACATACATTTTCAGAAACTAGAAGGTGTTACCTTTCAAATGAGGCATCATAACACAAAATCAGACACAAGATGTCCACACAATAAGCATTTCCATTTGGGTATCATAATTCGAGAAGGAGCAGGCGAAATTAGGTGATCCTTAAAGGGTTAATGAGAAATATTCTATAACATTTCCACGAAAATTTTTAAGGTGTTTTTTTTTTTTTTACATATTGAGGGATGAGAGGAGAAAACTAGTTAGAGAACCACTAGTTTTCTAAAGCCAGGAACTAGTTACATGGATTTTTTTCAAATTGTTTTTTTTTTGTGGGTTTTAAAGTTGGGTATCCTAGCTAAAAAGACTACACGATATTATTAATTGACCAAAAATATATTTCAGATTTGTTTTCATTTTTTGATTCTTGCACTCAAATGTATTTCACTGCAAGAATTCAATATTCTTTACTGTAGCTAGATACATTGTAAACCTCTTCTCTCCAACATTGCTCGCTGCACGTCATGCTTTCAGACATGTGTGATAAACAACCTGTCCTTCAAACACGCACAGCTCCAATGTCATCAATTAAAAAGGTCCCGTCTTGGAGCGAGGGGCTTGTGGTGACATCACTGCTGTTCTTCCTCTCTGATTTGTAAATGAACTGGTTATTTATAGCACAGTGGGCAGGGACAGCGTTGGGACCGTCCTGGAAAAGATGGACATTCTGGCTCTCATCCCTCTTCCCAAGGTGAAGGGACACATTTGTCTCGTCTTGGCAGAAAGAGCGTGGTTAACCGCAGACGGAGGAGCTCTCACAGTGATTTCAAAATACTCAAGAGGAATTTTAATTTTCTGCTGTTGGTGAAGTCTGACTGGAATCCGCCCCTGTTAACAATAGCGCTGACAATGGCACGTTTTGCATCTAAAAGCGTCTGCTGTGGTTTTGAGGGTGTAGCTCCCAAATAATTTTAATGATCCGAATTATGTGACGAGTGAAGCTGTGGCTTGGTCTTTTGGCCTCATACCTGACAAGTGTAGACAATGGTGTGATTTACAAAAGGAGAGAGTTTCTGCTTTGGGACGGAGCCAGCGTGTCAAAGATGACAGAGGGTGAAGCATAGGGCAAGGCCTGTCACTCAGTACGAGCTGGTATCCCTGTCCTCTGTAGCTTCTTTCACTGACTGCACCTTTTAGCACAGAAATTGTCATATTGCATTATGGAATTATTAGTTAAAATTCTGATATATTATTATTGTTCATCTTTATTTATGGACACAATACAATACGGTCCATAGTTAAAAGAAAATATCCAACAAACAGTATATTGCATATTGAAAAAGTATTTAAATATATAGACCAGAGGTGGGAAATTATCGTAATGTTGCCCTATTGTGGAGGGCCAGACCCATTTTTATGTGGTTACTTATTAATTTAATTTTGCCGAAAGCTATTCAGTATTAAAATGTACGTGAAAAGAGTCCAGGGGGTGCTTTGAAATGTGATCTGATCTGATAGACAATGGTGGATGTACAGTAGGAGTGCTTGTTACCCAGATACATGAGGGAAAAATAGTGAGTAAGTAAACGTATTAAAGTACATGTTTAAATTGTATCATGTAAAAGTATTTCGGACTAATATGAGTAAGTGTACTCCTAAGCGTTTTGTCTGATTTTGGTCTGTGAAACGTGTTTACTCACTTACAAGACAGCACACCAGAAACACAATCTTGAAAAGGATTTAATTGAAATGATACCCGTTGATAACCGTTTGTACCCAGACCCACCCAAAACCACACTGTAGTTTCCCATACGTTTCATTTCACACACGCCCACGCACTCAGTCACATAAAATAGGTAAAATAAGTCAAACCATGAAAGCATAAGGCTGGGTACCGATGAAACTATCCATTCGAGGAAATGTCCGCGCTCGGAGCAAAGAGTTGTCTGCAGCCACAGAGGACGAGGTAGGACCCTGAGGTGCTGTGATTTAGGGCTATAACAAAATAGATTGAATTGAATTGAGGAGAGATGATGTCTAGGCTTCCATCCTCCACCAAGAGCCAGACCCTCACAGCCAACAGGCCGACCACCGCTCCCAGATGGGCTCCCGAGGGCTCCTGAGGGAACACTGGGAATAAAATAATAAAAGTTAGATATTGAAGAGTAAAAGGACTATGGCACAAAAATAATAAAACGTAGTATGTCTAAAAGCATAAATAAATATTAGGTGAAATACAGTGAAATAAATACATAATAAATCAAAAGCTAATCTAAATAGGTGTGTCTTGAGTCTGCTAATATAAACAAAAACATTATCTGAGCGCCTTTTAATTTTAGTTCTATAATGTTGAGGAGCAGAAAGTGGGTATTTGAAGTTACAGCTCGTCCTCTCTCAGTTTGTAATACATTATACTGCACAATAATTTGCTTTCTTGGATATTTCCACACTCTGAGTGAACCAGCGTCACAGTGCATAATAAATATGTTTATTGAGTCATCCCTTCAGGAGGTGGTGTTATGGTGTCTGTGTCTGTGGGCAGGTGTGGGCAGCAGAGAGGGTGGAGAGGGGCGGTGTGTGCTGGTTTTTAGATAGTGTTAGGAATTTGGAGATTAGTGGAAAGGTGTGTGTTTAAATCAGTGATTCAATTTCTACATTTTGAAAGGATGAAACTTGTAGTACTTCCAGTTCCAGTTTTGGCCATTCGTGACAAAAATTTTCGATAAACAGTTGAAAATAAACATGAAGTAACATAGAGTTCTAAGTGGACTCTCCTATCTTTGACCTTCAGATTCAGTGTATTTACCATTTGCAGTACAACCACATTGGAATCCATGTGCAAAAGTACCCCAGTGTGCACCACACAAGTACATACAGGCAGAAAATCCTGTGTGGCTCAAAGTTTCCGCGTTAATTTGCTACGCTAAATATGCTATTTTGTATTTTTACTTGTAAATTGATTCGTAATATATACATTAGAAAAGTTCTGACTTTTGTGTTTACAGTATAGCTACGTACATAAAGAAATATTGTCTCTCTACAACTCTTCCAACTGTCCATGTCCAATCAAGAAGAAACACATTTTCCAAACCAGGGAAAACTATGCAAGACTCAAATTTAGCCGTAATATGATCTTGTGAAATGTGGAGTCCAAATTGCAGTGGTAATGGAGCAAATTCTTGGCCATGAAACAGTACGTATACTGGATTGTTCCATTTCAATTTCCAGTTTCCATCCCCGAAGTAAGAACGATGCTTGAATGAGAGCAGAGGTTAGAGTTGAGGTTTAGACAGTGATGAACGTGGACATGGAAACATCGAACTCGGACCTCACCTGCCCGTCTGCCCCGTCAAGGCGTGTGTCTGTTGGCGTCAGTACAAAAGTGGACGCCTTTGGGCCTGTCCCTCCTCTTTCCCACCAGATTGACTTTCTTCAGTGCTGGAATGAGAGACGTGCCTCCTCCGGGCCTGGACATATGATCTGGGACTGTCAGGGTCTCTATATCAAACAGGATCAACTGGTGCTGGTCCCGCAGGCCTCGGGATACCTGGACTCGCATTCCTCTGACACATCCCCATCCCAAGAGGAGGATCATCTGTCTTTTGTGGCAGCTCTGGCTCAAAGGTGCAGTTTCTCCCTCTGCATTGTCTCCAAATGAAACTTTGTAAAAGGGCTGCAATGCACACCTTGTTTGAAGGTTTTTTTTTTTCCTCCCATGGGTGTCTAAATCCAATCCAATCCATCTTATTTATAATGCACATTTTATAAAACATGGTTCCAAAGTGCTGCACAGAGATAAAAGTAACACATTTAAACATACAGGTCTGCCAGTTTTATATCTACATACAGTATTTGATAAATGAAGCATAAGATAAGACAAACTAGATTGATGGATGAAATAAAAGCATTAAATCTATACTATATAAAGTTACAACAAAACAATGTAAACAAGATTAAAAGCCAGAGTAAAATGTCAGAATGCACGGCAACTTATGCGTAAAACAATGCTGTCATTAGCTTTCTCTTGTGTGTACTTTCTATCTAGCCTATTTAGGACAATTTGAATATGAAATTAGTGCAGTTCTTGTGTCGTAAAACTCTTATAAAATGCAATATTCAACATCATCTTCCAAAAATTGCCCGTTACTGCCAAAAACCTTTCTGTTGGAACAAAAAGCCTTTCCACAAAAGTGTCTATAGTCCCCTTTAAAGCTTTAGCCAAATGCTTGCTACACTTCTACAGTATATTAGTCCCTGATGTCTCACAAACAGTACACTCACTTTTCTCTTGGAACATAATGCACAGAAGTTTTAAATGACTCATCCTTTAAGACTGTTAAATTGCTAAAGCTTCCTCAAAGGCCTTAAGAAAAAACCGTGATCATGTTTTTGTCATATGTATAATCGGCGACGTTGATCTTAAAGAGGTATTTAACTTTATTGTTGCTGAATGTTGTTGATATTGTGAACAAACCAGACCACAACACGCTAGCTTCATCTCATGGAGTATGGTCCTCTTCTTCACTTTCCGGTCTGAAAAAGCTGAAGCTGATCTAAAAACATGGTTAAAAAACATGTTCAAATTTGATTCAAAATTTAGTGTTTGTGTGTGTTTGTTTTGTGTGAATGACTGTATCTTTCAAATATACACCAAAGTAACAGTGACAGTATCTGGTGTTTCTCCCGCTTCAGCCTCTTCTCATGTTGAGGCGTAGAGAATGGGAGGAGTATGTTCTGAGCCCTCACCTGAAGCCTCCCCGTCCTGTTGGTGTCAGCTCCTTGAAACTGAAGTCAGTGTAGTGTGTGCGGCTGTGGATAAAAGAGGAGATGAATCAAAGCAGTGTGGCTGTACACAGGACTATAATCTCATCACTCGCCCCGCAGCCATATGTCTTTGTACTCTCTTTAATTGAATTGAGCCTGCGATGAGATTGGCCAACATACCTTGCAGTGGCAGAGAGACAGCAAAAGCCAAGATTCGGAGTGCAATTTTGGGAGGGTTGTTTTTATTGGGATGATTACAGTCCTGCAGGGATCCCAAAGGCGACGGATGTATTCCTACCTCACTTGCGCTGACGTACCTGCCCAATGAAATCATGTTGTTTTCTCTGACACTTAAATGGTTTAGCAAGCACCAAATATGACACATACTTATCTAATTTCATTTTTGTTTGTTTTAATGAATGTCACTATAGCCAATATGTCACCAGTGCAAAAGAACAAGAACAAGTCATGCAGTCAGAAGTTTGTGTCGCAGAAGAACATTATTGACTACATTTTAACTGGTTTCCATGATTGCTGAATAAGATCTGACATATAACCAAATATTTCTGTATGTGTTTGAAGTTACGTTTTTATTTCAAACCCAGTAGCATGAAATTTCACACCATTGTAAATCCTTGAGAAAATTATGGACATGGAACAAATGGTTAAATCCGGATGACTCTACAATTATAGTATACCTACCTGTTTTCCATACCTTTTTCCATCGGCAGTAGATCAGTTGGTTGAGTGTATCTTCTCTAAACTAACTAACATGACATAGAAAATATAACATCACATTTGTTGATCAGATTGACAGGTCTGAAACCTTGTCTTTGGGCAAAACATTTTAGCGACTAGCAAAAGTATTTTTTCTGTGAGTGCCATCAATTATCTTTTTATATTCCATGATGCCGACCTATCCTTTCTACCTGGGTGAAATCTAATCTCAGCATGAGTACAGCTAATCTGTGATGGGCTAAATTTTGATAAGAGAATACAGGTCACTGAACACCATCATGGAATCCAAGAAACTCACCAGAGGACTTACCTTAGATCAGGGGTCTCCAAATGTTTTCAATCAGAGAGCTACTTTTATATGAAAGAAGAGACATAGAGCTACTCTTTGTGCAGTTGTAATAAAAATCTATCTAATAATTTGGACAAAACATGATGAACACATGAATGTAAAATAACCCTAAATTTATAATAGATATGTAATGGCTCAAAATGTATTCATTCAAGATCAAGTATTAAATTCTAAATCTTTTGACAAGCTACTGGTAGCTCCCGAGCCACAGATTGGAGACTCCTGCCTTATGCTTTAAGGCTTCTTTTCTTCAGCAGGGACAGGGAAGAGAATCAGAGTTGATGGGATGGTGAACGGAGCAGAATAAAGAGAATGGGGTGGATGATTACCAACCATCAAGACAATTTCCTTAAATATAAAGCTATTATAAACAATGGAATGGTTTATAACATATTCATGTTTAAGAATGGCCGAACCAAAGTTAAAACCTAGACCAATCCTGAAGCTGTGGCAAGATTTAAAATATTGAATCTAATATGCTAGAGCTTGAGCTGTTAGATGTACAAAGCTTAAGTTATAGAGAAATGTCCCAAGAGACTTGCTGCTAAAGGGGTTCCACCAAGAGGCTGGCTACTTTAACAAGCCCAGCAACAACAAAATAATTTATGCTTTTGATTTTACTTCATTTTTAAAATAACAGACCATGTACAGCCCCCACCATTTGACAACCACCGCTCTAGATCTTTAGCATGTGGCAGGTAAGTTTCAGCTGTGTGTGGAGGAAGGAGTCGTCATTGAGCCCAAGACTGCTCTTACCCCCCTGTCCCACCGCTCCTACCCCCGTCCCGACACCCCATCTCCCCTCGTGCAGTGTGGCGTCAGCTGCAATCAGCTCCAGATGTGGCCTGGCACCCCTCCACAGTCACGGCACTGGATGTGGTTTTGAAGGTAGTTTGGAAGCGCCACCCACCAGAGAGATCCAATGAAAGTTCTTCATAGAGAAGTTTCTTAGAGAGAGTTTCTGTAAAAAGGTGCATATTTAAACACACACATCTGGATACAGCCAAGATGAAGAAAAGTTTATCGCCCTTATATGTGCATGTGTAACTTATTTAACAAGCTTTGGAGTAGTGAGACAAAAGCTCAAACTGCTTCCATGTGTTCTAAGATATGGAAATATCAACATCCTTTATTCAGCCTCAGGCCTCCATCTTTTGTTCCTTTGTATAGAAATACTTTAAAAGGTTCATGTGGGTTTTCTTTGATTCCTCCAAACGAACAGAGCTGGTAATTAAGTTTATCATAAGGATAATGTTTTAAGAGTTAAAGAACCTTAAAGAGGGTCTTGCACTTTCACGGTGGCTTCAGATGAATAATGGCATAACATAAAAATAACAAGAATGAAATAATTGAAGTAGACCTCACATCACAGAGATATCAATTTCCATAGGACATTGTGTAGCTTTCCAACTGCTCTGTTTGAATGAAGTCATTCAGTATTTTCTGCCAGGACTTTGCACCAGTTAACAGTGAAAGAGACGATGGCTCCCTCTGCTGTCCTCTGTAACCTCACACAGAAAACCCTTTAGAACGTTATATTTTTCATTTTATGTCGTCAATATGTTCTCCATACGGTTTTTTCCCTTTACTTTAATATAGTTATAATACAAACTTGGTGTTTTAAGTCTTTGCTGAAACATTCTGTAATCTGAGTCCTGAGCTTTAATCACCAGGTTATAGTGTGTTGTTCATTTGAGATGAAATGGACACTGCTGCAGAAGAATCTGACAGCGTGTGACACTAAACACAGATAAGATATTTTCTCAGTTCTCATCTCGTCTGCAGTACTCTTTTAATGTAAGTCACTCTTACATTAAAAGAGCACCGCAATACTTTTTTATTTGTATTGTTTTATTTTTGAAAAGGAAAAACGAAATATTTGATTGTGGAGCGTATCGCAGGTTAGATACACGTAAACAGTTCACTGCTGCATACAAACCATACAAACACAAGACTGATTTGCTCTTGCTTCCACTGTTTATTTGGAATGAAACTTTAGATATTTGTGGGGGCAGCGCTTCAACGACAGCAGATGGCGCTGTTTCTTCAACAACTTTAACAAGAGACGCGCTGCAGCTGTTTCACAATCTCCTGTTGATGCTCTGATCTGTGTTGGTGATTTCAATGGTTTTGTTAAGCCCTCTGAGATGACTTCTGTTGTGATTTAGGGCTATACAAGAATAAGTTGTTGTTGTTGTTGTTCACAAAAGGCAACGATATTTTTTATCCATGGAGGCAACCAGAGCACAAGTATGTTCTATGTACAAGCAGTTTAATGTGTAAATAGTTTCAAAATGCGCAGACATTTCCTGTCATAGACAGCTCCACAAGATAAAGGTATATCTTATCTTATCTTAGATCATCTGTACCAGCCTCGGGAAATGATGAGCGGAGTTTACGGATGGCCAGGTATAGCGTCCCCGGTTGATTTGGCTGGTCACTCGAAACTGATTCACAACTTTTATTGTTTCTTTGGCATGTGAACAACACCGTAAGAGCTACAACGAATTCACAAATTAAACAATTAGAAAACTTGTACTTACAGTGAGACACATAAAAACTCTATTTAAAACCCTTAATTTATTGCCATATCCCTGAACTTAATTCCTTATTTATAAACTTAACATTTACACCCTTATTTGCTTAATAATTATCATTTATATTGTAATCAAACTGTTTCAAATTACCCTTTGTTACAACAGAGCCGTTAACGGCCGTTTAAACGCCCTCTAGTGGCCAAAAGTAGCATACAACTAACAGTAAACAAAAAACGTTACATATTACAGAGAAAATACTACAAACGACATTAAACGAACCTTGTTCCCTCATCATCCAGGTGCCACGGGCTGAAACAAACCATAGAAAAACCTTGACTGAAAATGATCATGAACCAAGAACTGTAGCGCACAACCTTTTGGTCCAACTGCCACTTTCTTCTCACGTTGCCAGGCAACGCCCTGTGGCCAAACAGTTGCCATGCACACCAAAATAAACTGTTAATCATACAATTAATAGTAATCAATTATGTAAAAAAAATATTAATTAACTAAGTCATTTACACCAGGCTCGCGCCACACCTACTGCACGTGCGTTTACGCCACACTCACAACCGTGTCATAGTATTGCATACACACGCATCGATACTGAAATGATACTGAAATAAACATGAACACATGTTTTTTTTCCAATACAATATTGTAAGTATCTTGTTTCCTAGAAGCCACGCAGGTGTTTTGGGCACTCTGCCCCAGAGACTGTTTCCCTGTTGAACTGATAACTCTACTTCTTAGTCTTTGGTTAAACCCAGAGAACGTAACTGCATGGATGACAACATCCATATTATTCAACTCTGATTCTCTGGGAGACAAGGAGCTTTCCAGGGGAAAAAGAAGAGGAAAAGGTTAGCTTCACAATCTGGCTCATAATAAATCTCAATTTTGCTGCATCACGTTTTATTAATCAGCGTTACTAAACTCGAAGTGCTCCATCATGACAGAGGACATCATTTTATCCTATTCATACTTACGTTTTGTGACACCCAAAGACACGTCACATGACATTAATTCTCTCCGCACCATAGACTGAGGTAAACTACTACTGTCGTAGTCACACCTGCCCTAGGGCAGACTAAAGGAAGTGAGGCAACCAATACATGCCACCTGCCTTTCTGCCCAGATTCATACAAGGCACTACATCTTGAAAATATGCCCCCAGATAATAGAACATGAAAACATATAATCTTTGACCTTTCATGGACAAAGGTGGATTTATTCTATTAAAAATACAATGGACATGACGTCCACAGTATTTATGTGTAAAGTTTTAGAGAGCAGAATGCCCATTAGAGGGGCCAGTTCTGGGGTGAAATTCAGAGAATATAAAAAAGCATATGATATAGTTGTATTGTTTCTCACATTATTGTTCTTAGTGTTGCGTGTACTTTCACATGTTAATATTTTACTTTTTATTGGTTTAGTGTCTCCAGTGTTTCCATGGAGGAGCCCTCTGCACTGCCCGTGGTTGTCGTCTGTGGAAGTCTGGCTCATAGACCTGAGGGAGAAATTCATTTAATTATTTTATCTATGTGTGTGTGCTGTGTTGGTGTGTATGAGTGAGACTGGGACTGTTCTGTGATTATTTTGGGGTGAGTTGGTTGAGTGGGTGGGTTGATGGGTCAACTATAAAGTGCTTTATAAATAAAGATTGATTGATTGATGGTCCATACAGAAAACACTATCTGCACTGGTGGAGTGAGAATCTGGGAGTGGCCTCTGAGTGAACTATGCACCGGCAGAGGGTGGGGCTCACGTCACCTCTGCAGAGTATCACCTAAGTCTCAGGACAACACACCAGGACTATTTCACAACGGCTGTTTTGTACCAAATCAACTTGAAGGTAAGTTAAAATACAACAATAATGTATGATATCAAATGCATGCGAGTACCAAGTTCCTCTTTTCATTGTAATATGACCAACAAACATGGCACAGTTTTGTTCAGTAGACATTTAGTCAATTTCGTTTCACATGAGTAATCAATATTGTTTTGTCACATCAAACACTCTTAACTTACTTTGAAAGCAAAGTATAGAGTTAAAGAAGCTAAAGTAAATTGGCATTGAGGGTTTGATTATGATAAATGTAGTGGTGCAGTAGCTCATCACAATGATTCAGTTTCTAATTCATTTCTACTTCTGGAGTTACTTAGATGTTAAGTTCACCCCCAGAGGCATTATATTTAACATTATTAGAAATGTATATAAAAACATTGCAGAGTTAAAAGCCTTTTTCTTGCAGGTTTTCAAAATGGCGTTTTTAAATGGGAAGTTAAAAGCTGCTATACTTCTACTTCTTCTTCACACGGGTAAGTCTCTATTGACCAGGTTTCTCTAATTATAACACAAAAATGTCTCTTCTACAATTCTTCAATCCTTCAAACAACACCTACAACCAACTGATTCTCCTCCTCCTAAATATGCCATTTTTGTGATTTTATCATCATGTAATAATTTACTAGAAAGAGCGTATACCATGCACATGTTAGATATTTTATGGTTGTAAATTAGGCAACATTGAACAGGGTCATCCACGCATCAACATAATGTGTGTTGATGGTGTCCATTGTTGGTATGTTCAGCATGGCGTTTGGGCGTAGGCTACACTATTTTTGTTCACTCCTAGCCACTTTTGATTTAAGTCCACAGCATTAACATGACTATTTTCTACTTCCAGACTACTACAGAATATCAATGTTTAAACTACAATTATTTCCAGTATGGCTGGCAATACTATAGACAATAGCAGTCCTACGAGGCAAAACTATTGCATTGTATAGTTTTAATGGGCCTTTTTTTACTACTGTTTGCAGAAGTAGTCAGGTTCTTGTGTGACGTTGGAGTAGTCTGCATTTAACTGGGTATTTTCAGACCTGCTTCATTTGTTATACACAGCATTCAGTTACATACATCAGGTTACTCAGTGGTTCCCAAAGTGGGAGGTGCAGAGTAATTCATTTACTAAATGAATGACAGTAAATAAAAAATAATAATTATAATTATAAAGCCAAAATGACACTGCTAGCATAAGATGGACACATTTTTGACACATTACAATCTGCAGTTAGGGCTGGGGTTTATACTAAATGTGGAACAGAGGGAAAGCAGTTTATTCAGTTGTTGTTGGTGTCTAAAATGTTCTACAAAGCGTTTGAATACCTGTCTCAAAGCTGACAGGACAGGTCATCTGAAAAATATGTGCTGTTTATTCCCGTTTGGCTTTGCCCTGGGGACTCCGCCGAGTAAATATTTGTGCTTGTCGCGCATACAAAGTTAATCCTTGGGTGGTTGAGAAATAGCCTGATGCAGCAAAATGTGGTGGCAGTTTATTAGAATTGGAAGCAACTGTGGAAAAGAGAAGTGACAGTGTTTTAAGTTATCCTCAAATTAAGGAAATCCTATAATATGTATGTAAGGTTCGTGGTGGAATATATTGTGTAGATATGATATTGTATAGTAGACAAATACTTCTATATTAATAGCTCAGACTGGTGTCATACATAGAGCGGACCCAATACTCATGGAGAACACCCCAGAGGACACACTGGGGAACATGGTCAAACGCCTTCTCCAGATCCACAAAGCACAAGTGGATGGGTTTGGCAAACTCCCATGAGCCCTCAGTATCCGATCAGTAAAGAGCTGGTCCAGTGTTCCCGCAACAGGGACGTAAACCACAAAGTCCTCCTCAATCCTAAATCACACACATTATCCTGTTGAAATGGAAATGCGGTCTGTGGTGGCTAGACAATTGAACCAAATTCATAGAGACTGTTGGCTATTTTGCAAGGTTCAAATATTTTAAACTTTCACCAAAGAATGTGTCCAAGTTTGTTGTGCGAGAGCCGCTAGATTATTGACATGCCTAACATATTCTAAATAATGTATGATCTGTGGTATGTTATATTTATGTTACAGGTGTCACAAATGCAATGCAAGTAACGGCAACCGGGCCTCAGACGATTAGGAAAGCCCAGGGGGAGGCAGTGACCATGGGCTGCACCTACTCACCCGGCTCGGAGGACATAGGGGAGCTGGACATAGAGTGGTCCAACGTCAGTCCAGATATGACCCAAAAGGATTCTCTGGTGAGTCTGAAAAACATACTTTATCATATTATATCAACCGTCAATCATGGCAGCAGTTATCATGATTAACTTCTACATAATTTATATAGACTGAGGCCCATAGAAGATGTAGAGTAGAATAGAACAGCTAAAACTAAAAGAGCCTAAAATGTATCTTTGTAGTGGAGAGCAGTTGAAATTCTGCTGGTAATGTTGTATGGTAACGTTGTATGGTAAATGTCAAAAGTCAGACCCTGGGCCAATTAACAAAACGAACAACAACAACTGTCATATAGAGTTCCACATCTGTCTGTACATAGCTATGGTCTAATTAATTGTCTGGAAGTGATGCATGATGTTTGCCAGTAAAAATGTCTTTCAAACATGCAAACATCACGTTGGGCTTGTGCATTTGTCACTATCAAATAATCTTCTGGGAAAACACTTCTTATTCCTCAATATTTGGCAGCTGCCGTCCTTCTAGAATATGAATGAATCCTACATAGTTGTTTTTTTCTGATTGTGTTTCAGATACTTCTATAAAAAAAAGTTGAGAAATAACTGGTAATGTGTGTGTTCCAGATCTTGTCGTACACTGGAGGCAAAACGCATTACTACGGCACCTGGGATCTGAAAGACCGGCTGACGTTTACTGCTGACCCTAAGAATGGTGATGCGACCGTCTCCCTGTCCAACATCCAGGCTTCAGACACCGCCACATACCAGTGCAAAGTGAAGAAAGCCCCCGGCGTGGACACCCGCAAAGTCACACTGGTGGTGCTGGGTGAGTGCAGACATGCCTTTGGTACTGGTCCGACCTGTTCACACTCCTAAGCTTTCATCATGATACCTGGAATCGGAATGTGCCCTGCCAATAATTTCACACCTTGCATGTTGTATAGTCTTGTTTTGTTGCCGTTAACAACGTGTAATACCAGCTCTAATGAAAGAAAATGAAGGAGATTCCCATTCTGATATAAAGCAACACTATAAATGTCTGATGGTGGCTCCGTTATTGCATTGATTTGGGGAGCCAAAATGTAGGTCAATATTTTTTAGGATTTTTCTAGAATTATAACACTGTTGAAGACCAGTGGTAATAGTTGTTGTGTCTGGTCGGCAGTTCCCCCGTCGAGGCCTAAGTGTTGGGTGGAAGGCGGCGAGGAGAAAGGCAGCTCGGTGTCTCTGCGCTGTAAGTCCTCAGAGGGATCCACACCTCTCTCTTATTCATGGACAAGAGAGTCAGGAGGGTCCATGCCCCCCGCCGCCACCCAAGGTAAACTAATGCTCACAAACATCATGAAGAGTTACATGAGATCAATGACATACTTTTCTAAATAAAACATATGAATGGATCAGTTATATCAGAAATATTGTTTAAGCGCTGCTGTTCTTTTTCAGTCAACACAGCAAAAAACAGGTCCATCTGAATCATAGCAAACTGCAAACATAATTTAAGGAAATGTTTAAAAAGTGCTGAAACTTATTGTAATTACAAAAAGACCAAACAATGAAACAATGGTTCACAAAAATACTTTCGCTAAGCAATTAGAATTTAATTTTGGAAAATACGAAGAAGATAGATCTTGTGCCCTAACACCAATCAAATCTTCCTTGCTGATATATCAAGTTTATAATATCCCCTCTTTCATTCTATCTATACTCCTGTATTATTGCTGTATCACTTTAAAATGAAAAGGCTAAAATGGTGTTTTCTCTCATTAAGACTCGTCCACTGGAGAGCTGTTGATAAAGAACCACACAGACAGCTACGTCGGGACCTATGCGTGTGTGGTGACAAACGGCGTGGGCTCAGGACAGTGTAAATATGCACTGCGCGCGTACAACCGTAAGTCACTTCTAATCGTTCTCTAAACAAGCTGTGTTTCTCTCGCTATGCACTTTTTGGAAGCCCATGACTCGACTTTAGCCGCTGTAGCCTGCATTATCCTAAATAAATGTACAGCAGGCTTTGCAACAGAGATAATGTGTGTGACCATATACTTACGTGTGATTTGTGTCTTTTCACAGCCACCAATAGAGTGGGAGTGATAGTGGGTGCAGTCATCGGGGCCCTTCTGCTGTTACTGCTGCTCCTACTGCTCATCTGGCTCCTCATCTGCTGCTGCAACAAAAGGAGATATGAAAAAGAAAGAGCAAATGAAATCAGGTGAGAACAGGCAACAAAAGCAGTGTGGCAAGACTTGACTATCAAGGCCAGTTTTGATGCCACTATGATTATTAAAACCTCATGAATCTGTAGGCTCAACCCCACTGCCAAAAGAACTGGTTCAAATATAAGGGCAATTTAGACAGCAATAAACCAAACCTGCTTTATAGGCAAATGCTTACTTTTGGGTCAGGTGAAGAAGGTTTTAAAACATTTGGCATTATGAGAGAATAATAAGTGTCGTCAGCTCCCTATAGACTAATAGTTCCTAATGTGTTTGTTATTGTTGCCTTCCCTGTGTTTGAACTATTTGATTCTCTAATCTGTTGTTGGTGAATCGACAACCGTGCAAAGTCCTACGAGACTACTGCTATTATGATTTACAAAGAAATTATTGAACTGAGTTTGAAGTTTGGGCGTTGCACATGCTGCTCTTCCCTTTATGTGACAAGCAATACACGTTTGAAAATGTTTTTATTGCTTCACATGGATGATATATTGGCATGTCATGTTATTTTCATCCCCTTTTATTATTCCATTTCTGGGCCGGGGTTGGCAATCAGAGCTGCCACCCAATCCTTAAAGATTGGGTAGATTGATGAACTTTCTGTAGTCCATTATACTGCGTGTGTACTGCGTTGGGTATTTTGAAATGTTTGTTTTGATCCTTTTATTTCCTCTCTTCCTGTTCCTGTCTTCCCCGTGCAAGCCAACACAGGTCCAAAGAAAAGGCCAACCTTTCCTACTCTTGTGCTGGGTGTCATGGGAGTTTAACACAAACAAAAGTGAATAGAGAAGAATTTATCACCACCTGCCTTGAAATAATAAATCAGTAGAAATGGTCTGGCGGTTGTTTACCAGAACTGCATTTGATTGATATACATGGTTTTAACTGATGAGAAGCTTGACTCCTTGAATCAAGTCGTTTCATAAGTATTAAAATGAGCACTAATCTCTGCATCCTTCTTCCCAGAGAGGACGCCCACGCCCCAGAGAGCCGCCCCACCAGCAGAGCCACCAGCAGAGCCACCAGCAGAGCCACCAGCCTGCGCTCCGTCCTGAGCTACCACACACACCATGGGGTCCAGTACAGCGGCGTGAGGAGCGACATGTCCAGCGTCCGCGACCCCAACGTCATCTACGCAGGGAACTCTGTGCGCAACTCACAACGCCCCAACGGCGACCACAAACACACGCACTCGCTCAAATATGACCCCAAATATGGATATCCGGTGTGACGGACTGCCCTGGACTCTACTGTCGGACTAAGCTATGATGTACATAGAGAAGGATAGAGAAATTGTTCATGTTTTTGTAAATGAGAGAGCACAGATTTATATATTTAATATTATAGGTTTAACAATCTTTTTGAAAATGTAACTCATTTGTAAATAGTTTTGTGCCTATTTTGTATTTCTTTTAAACAGAGATTGTGATATATAAATTGCTAAGTCTTGAGTTTTCTTGTTGGTGAGACCTACTTTAGCTTTTTCAAATGGTGGTTTAATCTTTCCCAAACAAAATAAATAATTAATGGCACACAGACACATACCAATATACTGTATATCTAAATAATGCTGTTCTTCAGAAAGAATAGTGGACAGTGATATGTGTTACAGCACTTCAGGATGAAAAAGAAAATAGCCTTTTGTGTATTGTGTCCTTGATTTGCAAACCTTAACTGTTTAAAGAGCGACTAAACACCTGTGCCCAGCCTTACACCGCCCACATAATTATTTGAGAATTTTCTTTTAAAAGGGCGTTGCCTGGAGGACCAAGGGACAGGAGCTTAGAGTTGGCTGGGTCTGGGCTGTGATTGACAGCTCACTTGTCACACAAAAAAAAACAGACATTTGTCATTGCTGCCTAAAGCAATAGTTTACAGACCAGAAAGTCTCATTCCACCCTTGTTTACACACTAAGATAATTGTAGAGCTACACACCTGAGCCTAACCCACAGAATTATCTCAGCAGCAGTGGTTTTCAACTGATATAATTTCAATTTAAGCCACTAGATGGCGCCAGAATACTCCAACCTGCAGCTGGGGCGTGTGTGAGAGTTGAATGGGTTTATATCACTGGCGCAGAGAGACGCACGTCACGCACACCAACTGACGTAACACAGCATTTCAGAGTCAATGGAAAGACCAGGACCAAATTCAAATGTAGTACCACCAAAAAGGTTGAGAGGGCGCCACACAGACGTTTTTAGGCTCAGAAGTGAGATTTTATCTAATTTGCACTAAAATGTCAAAAAAAATGACCAGGATATGTAGAGAGCACTACAATAATCATTTATGCAGTTTATGAGGAAAAAAAAGTTGATTTGGTGTTTAGTCGTTCTTTAAGTGGACGTGGTTTAAATGCACAATGGCTTGTTCAAGTGTTTTTACAGCTTGAACTTTTGCACATTTGGTCATTGTACTATGGAGCCCCTAAAGTTCACCCAAAAATCTAGTGTGATCTTGTGCCAGCAAAATGATTATCTTGGGGGAACAGAAAAAAAACATATCTTGTATTATTATTATTATTCTTTGTGTGTGAAGCAGACCGATGTACATGATTCGAATGTGATAATTGCAAAGTAAAAGCAAAAATATGCTTTTTAATTATTGTATTGAAAACAGTATTGAAGACAACTCAAACAGTCAGATTAGATGATGAGCATTTAGGTACCATGCCACAACCTTTACTCCAAGATTATTCTGTATTTTGCTCCATCCACCTTCCCATAAACCCAGACAGTCAGCTCAGTCCCTGCTGAAGTAAAGCAGCCCCGTAACCCACCATATTTGACACTGGTGTCTCTGTACTCTTTAAAGAAGAACTGAAAAACCAATACCTCATGTATACATGTGGCGTCATGTACGTACATTATTTGCTTGTGAACAAACAAAATGAGTGTTTCTGCAGAGATGGGCCGATGAGGGATTATTTATAATGACCACATTGCTGAAGGTCACTGAAGTGTGATTGGCTTTTCTTATCAGGTCAAAGCTTGTGCTGCCGGTGAAGCCATGTGTTTGTAAATGTGTGGCCAAACCATGTTCCTGTTGTGGGCATTTGTGGTCAATGATAATTCAAATTATCTATGGCTGACTCTGCTCTGTGAATTAAAACAGATGAAAAGTGTTATCATGGTATATGCATAAAAATAAATACACAACATGCTCTGATCAGCTTTGTGTTTATTTGTTTAAGCAGGATTGAAATGGTGGCTAGGAATCTAAAATGACCAAATCAAATTAAATTAAAACAAAACAATATGTATTTTTCTACTACTTCCAAATAAATTAATGTTATTCAGCTCTTCTTAGATCAAGACTGAAATTGTCCATTACTAGATGCTTATGCATGTAGCATTAGTCTCAGTGGTTCATCTTCCACATTAGTTTACATCTTGATTACTAAATTAATTGGTATAAATTGGGCATATGCCAAAGAATTAATATAACTTTTTTTTGTATTTGACAGCAAGACATATAAATATAAAATTAATCTGTATCAACAGAAAGTTCAGTGTTGAATATGTCAAATTTACTATTCCTACAGAGGCAGCCTAATAGGAGTGGTGGATTATAGTGACTTATTAAATATAAACTTCATAATAACATCCTTTTACCAGACCCCTGGGAGCTGCTCACAAATTGATTTTGCATGTCACTCAGCAGCAGTAAATGTGTATCCGTTACTATAATCCAGGTTGAATAATCGTACATGGCTATACAAAAAACTTTATGATGGACATTGTTTGTACATAGCAATGTTGAATGTTATGGTCAGTCTCAGAAAAACCCTATAGACCTGTATATTTATCACGTACTGCTGCTTATAGTCAGGGTCAATGCAAATGGACCTCCACCACAACTACCTGTGGTCAATGCAAATGTGAGGTAATGATGCTGTATAAATCCGCTCTTTCCGAGGATCCAGGAGTTCATCTTGTGCTGTTTGCCTCCTTCAGACTTCTCCCGGCGAGGATTAATGCTGGGATCAACAAAACAACACAAAGGCTTCTTCAGCCAAAGCCAACAACGGTATTGAGTCATGCAACATATTGTGAGATGGATTCAGGCAGTTTATTTAGATAAACTAATAGATTGATTCTGGGAATGGGATTTTACAACTAGAGTTAAGAGCAATTGGACACATCATTGTTGTTCAACCAGAGTACAGTGCATAGTGTTCCTTGACATGTTGTGTGGTGTGTTTTCGGAAAAAATTGACTAATTTGTCAAAATAATGCAAAAATAAGAGAATGTTGAAAATATAGAAAGATTAGACTTTTTTCACGTGATTGATTATCTATACAATATATTTTGAGGTATATTATAGAAAATGTTACAGCTGGTGGTGTGCCATGTGATTGCTTAAATAAAAAAAGGTTGGGGAGCACTGGTACACATTTACACATGGACTAATCATAGAAAGTGGGTTGTTATTAGTATGTTAAAGCAGGAGACATCTGAGAAGTCACTTGTTCTGTTCACTTTTCTCTTTGCAGGTAACAAAGTCGTGTCTGGCTTGGAAAGTGTGTACATGATTCACATGATTGTTCTCACATCTTGTCGTCGCTTTGAAAACGGCACAGTGGATATCAAAGAGAAGCACAAGCTGTTGAGGTGCAAGTTCTCCTCACAAGCGCTTCAAAGTACACGTGCTGTCGGGGTAAAGACTACCAACATGTTGGCCGAGAGTAAGTTGGCCATCTGGATAATAACTGGCTTGTTTGCAGTCACCACAGTGTTCTATAACCTCTTCATCCTGCTGACTAGCCTGTCTCACTACCAGCATACAAAGCAGTGGTCTCCCAGTGAAACCATAGTAGTAGCTCTATCTGGGGCTAACTTGGTTCATCAGATCGTCTGCTACCTCTGGATGACGATGGACGAGATGGACACAGAATGCCACATCCCATCAATGCCTTACAGTATCTTGCTAGTTCTGCTCTACAGTCTCAAATTCACTGTGGTGTGGAATGTCAGTTTTCTCACCTTTTACTACAGCACAAAGTTAGTCCACACGCCAAATCGCTTTTCCACATTCATCCAGAGCCTGGTCCTTAAGCATGTTACATTGGGGGTGGTCCTGATTCCTCTGGGGGCCTGTGCTGTGAGCATGCCCCCGCTAGTTCTGTTCCAGTCAGAAAACACACACAACAAAACATTAGTAAATCAAGACTGCGGCATCAAAACCCCAGAGACCTTTGCAGCTAAAGTCTATGAAGTTCTGTCTTTACTGTTGGCGGATGTGTTTCCAGGGCTGCTGATGATCAAGTGCTGCATTTCCATTTCGGTTCACTTGGCGACCCATCTGCACCAAATGAAAGCGAGTACTAATGGAGCTCACCGTCCCAAACTGGGCTCTCAGTTGCGGGTTATTCAAATGGCCCTGTCCCTGGTCGTGGTCTTCCTTGTCTTCCTTGTCGTGGACCTGTATGTGAACTACCAAATCGCTGTTTATCATGAGAATGCCATAACGCTCACATTTCTATTCACGTCCATATTCACCACTGTCATCCCTATGGTGTTAATCTATGGGAAAACACCTTTCTGGAAGTCCTTTTTACACAAATTTAACACTTGTCTTGATGAGTACCCCTGTCTATCATGTCTGAAGGTTCCTGAGCACAAGAGCGAAAGACAAACTCCAATGACACATAAAAAATAAGGAAATATAGTCAATGCTTTCCTTTGTTTGGGAAACAGATTGGAGTCCTAAAGCCTAAAAAAGTGGAAAATGTATATATTGTATGTAAATTGTATGTAAGTTTCTTCCTTTGTTTCAATTGTTCAGTGTGAAGGCAACAAGAGTAATGGCATGCACAGCACCAGGAACTGCATCTGGCCTTAATACAATAGGCTACTGTGCTGACGTTTCAGAGAAATGACAAACAAAGAGCATTTACTCTCTACTTTTGTTCTGACTGTGACTTTTTAGAGTGAGGAAAAACTTTACCCACAAACACAATTAAACTAATTCTATAATTGTCAATAACTAGAGAAGTGTTCCAGTGTTTCAGAGGTTTATTGTTACATACAAATTATTATATATTTTAATTGTCAATAATATTAATTAATTAATTAATATTCATGCTATATACTGTATCTAGAGCTGGGTATCTTTTAGAGCCTGCCGATAAAATATCGGCAGGCCACGTATGTCAATACATGGGGCATTAACTTAAAAAATGCCAAAGCAATTTCCTTGTTTGTGACTTTTGTTACTCACATGGAAATACAAATATCTCTGATTATGATAATACTAGATATTTATAGACAATTCAATACGGCCCAGTAAAACATTAAGTCTTTTGGCCCCTTATCCCCTAATGATCTGCCACATTTAACAAAAAATACAACACTATTGAAGCTTGTTTAGTTTGTTTAAACAATCGTAAACACACACAGGTCCAGGAGGACAGAAACCAAAACAAAATATGAAAAACTGTACAAGACATTTTTACAATAAACAGTGCAGCATGCTGTACACTATTGGTGTGATTTATTGTCGTTTAGATGAAAATATAAACAACATTAAAACATTTATTCATGAATCTGAATATTTAGGAAAATATCACTATTACTCAATAATAAATATTAGGCAAGGCAAGGCAAGGCAAGGCAAGGCAAGGCAAGGCAAGGCAAGGCAAGTTTATTTGTATAGCACAATTCATACACAAGGCAACTCAAAGTGCTGAACAAGATAGCATTAAAATCATAAATAATTACAGAACATTAAAACGAAAGATAAAAATATAAAATCCCTCAGTTCCCTATTAATAGTTATATGAAAACAAATCTACATATATTTGCATCTATGACAACTGAAAGGGAAAAAATAATTATGTAAGACTAGTTCATCTGAAATAAAGATGGACTTTGAATAATACATTCTCTGCTTGTGGTGCAGACGGCTCCTTGGATGATGCTTCTTCAGCTGGATGCATCTGAACCCTGCCAAGTCTCTCTTCATGGTCTCACTCCTTTACTGGTGTGTGTGTGTGTGTGTATGAGCGTCTGTGAGAGCGTGTGTGTGAGAGAGTGTGTGTGTGCGTGCGTTCTTAATGATATATGTGGCTTGGGGTTTGTTTGTTGGGTGGTCGGGAGGGGGGGTCATGGGTGGGATTGTTTTTAACCAAACTGTAAAGCGCTTTGTGTTGCATTTTCTGTATGAAAAGCGCTTTACAAATACATTTTGACTGATTGATTGATAAGGAGACCCCTTGCACATGATGTAACCAGGTAGCCAATCTAAAAATACAGAAATATACATGGGATACATAAATCCTGCAGAAATCCTGTGTGGGTGATAAACACACAGGCTATAGGAGGAGGGGACAACACTGGGCTTGTCTGGGCTGTTGCCAGACAAATGTGTAGAGTGGACAGCAGGCGTGTTTGTGAAGGACAAGTGGGCTGGGTCCATAATCTCTGCACAAGCAACTCTTACATAGGCATGAAGTGACTCAGCTCAGAGTACAGTAGTTGCCTGACTCATAATCAATACTGGTATCTATCAAATCACAGAATGTGTTAGTAGGCTGTTTACCAGGTGTATCATTGGGTAAAATACAACTGCCACACAGAACAGAGAAACAGAACACCCTTAGCCACACACAGATGAAACATAATCAATAAACAATATGGACCAATTTTATCTTTAGTCTGAAATAAAGAATAATAATAATAATGAACACATAAATTACCAAAATGGTTGGTGTTTGTAATTTCAAGTCAACTAAAGTGGTTAAATAGATCTAGGGTTTGTATATTGTATTAACACAGTAATTACAACGAATGCAAATTAGCCCAAGGCTACAATCTGGAGAGGTGTGTTCGTTAACATGCACTGTCCCAACCAAAACAAACGAACAAAACAAACATTACCAGTGTTTTCTGGTAATGTTGATATTGTATGTGTTCAATTGGAACTGTGTGACCTTTTATTATCAATGACTCTTATGAGTTGTATTGCATTTGTTATTGCACGGTTCAGTAATATTCCCTCTTGGCTGTTTTGGTCAATGTAAAAAAACATTGATTTGATTTTCATCATCTCACACACAAGTGTCATGCTTTTGTCGATGTTATACAGTATTTTGAGTTTGTTCCAATAGGTAACTTTATGTTTGCTTTTGAATTTGATGGAATTCCAAATATGAGTCTAATTTTCCATAAGACAAAAGAGTGCTCACGGCACAGCCGACAGCTCCCTTTGCTGTCCTCTGTGACCTCTTACAGACACCTTTAAAAATTAATAATTTTGAATATTTAGTAGCCTGTATTTTTATCCGTATAAAGCTATATACAGTTTCATACAATTAAGAAACTGGAAATTTTCTCATCACTTTTTCATCAATAGAGTTTAATAAATGTATAATAAAAAACATGTGTTTGCTGAGCTTCAATCACCTGGTCACAGTGTACAAGTAAAAGGTCGCCTCCAGTTTAATGGTTACAGCGGTGGTTTAAGGAGCTTCTGTAGATCCTCTTGTTTGGATAAGTGCCACGGCAATAAATGTCTGTTGTTCATTCGAGATGATAGAGATGGACACTGCTGAATAAGTATCTGACAAATCTCTGTGTGTTCCTTTTCAGCAGCCTATGACACAAGCAACAAATGTGAAAAAATATTAAATATTTTCTCATTGACAATCCAATCCAATCCAATCCAATTTATTTATAACGCACTAATAAAAACAACACAGTTGACCAAAGTGCCGTACAAAAATAAAAATATAAAAAACAATCAAATATACACATATACAGTGGCATAAGTGGACGATTTGAACAGTAAAAGTCAACTTCCAAACTAGTTAAAAGCCAAAGAGAACAAATGCGTCTTAAGGCGTGATTTAAAAACAGGAAGGGAGTCAGCCTGTCTAATGCACAGAGGCAGCTCATTCCACAGTTTGGGACCAACCACAGAAAAAGCTCGGTCTCCTCTGAGTTTGTGGTGAGTCCGAGGAACCATAAGCAGTGATTGGTCCACCAATCGTAGCGAACGTGTCGGAGAGTATGACACGAGCAGGTCGGACAGATAACTCGGAGCAAGACCGTTGAGGCATTTAAACACAAATAAAAGAATTTTAAAATCAATTCTGTATTTGATTGGAAGCCAGTGAAGGGAAGACAAAACAGGTGAAATGTGATCATGCTTTTGTGAGCCAGTTAAAAGACGCGCTGCGGCATTCTGAACCAGCTGCAGGCGTGCGAGCGAGGACTGGCTAATGCCGGTGTACAGACCGTTACAGTAGTCTAGCCGCGTGGAAACAAAAGCATGAATCAACATTTCAAAGTGGTGACTAGAAAGTGAGGACTTTATTTTTGCAAGCTGCCTCAGATGGAAAAAACTGGCCTTCACCACAGCACTAACCTGCTTGTCAAATTTAAAATCCTGATCCATTTTAACACCAAGGTTTGGCACAGTGGGTTTAACAAACTGTGTCAAGGGTCCCAGGTTTGCAGAGGCAACTCTACCATTGCTAGGCCCAACTAGTAGAACCTCTGTCTTTTTATCATTGAAATGCAGAAAGTTAGCAGACATCCAGGATTTGATTTCATCAATGCACTCTAAAAGTTGAGTGGCACTGAACGCATTCTCACGCTTAAGGGGCACATAGATTTGGCTGTCATCAGCATATAAGTGAAATGACACCCCAAATCTACGGAGAACAGATCCCAGCGGAAGCATATACAATGAAAACAAAAGTGGTCCTAGAATGGACCCTTGTGGTACACCACATGACAGGGGAGCTGTGGAGGACACACAGTCACCAATTTTAACACAAAAACTCCTCTTTGTTAAGTAGGATCTGAACCATTTCAGAGCATAACCCCGAACGCCGACCGAATTTTCAAGACGACACAGGAGGATTTCATGGTCCACTGTGTCGAACGCAGCTGTCAGGTCCAACAGCACCAATGCCACAGTGTGGCCAGAGTCCGTAGACATAAAAAGATCATTTAAAACCCTAAGCAAAGCTGACTCAGTGCTGTGACGGCTCTTAAAACCAGACTGAAAAACCTCGGAAATCTCATGCTCATCCAGGAATGCCGTCAGCTGGTTAAAAACAATTTTTTCCAAAATTTTGGACAGCAGTGGAAGCTTGGAAATCGGGCGAAAGTTAGACAGATCATTAGGATCAAGGCCAGGTTTTTTTGTTAATGGCTGGACAACAGCATGTTTGAAACTTCCAGGCACTACTCCATTCATCAAGCTTCCATTAACACAATGCAAAACAAAGGGTGCTAATGTGGAAAACACGTCTTTGAACAGGCGTGGAGAGATGGGATCAAAAGGTGAACCAGCGGGCTTCATCTGACTGACAACCTTTTCCAAACAGGAGAGTGTCACAGGCTCAAAATGATCAAATAAGGCTGAGCATGTGACAGAGTCAGACACGGCAACAGATGGGGTGCTGATAAGGGCCCTAGTGGTGACAACCTTATTTATGAAAAAGTTCAGAAAGTTTTTCACACAATGCAGGTGAGGCGTCAAGGACATGTGATTGAGGAACATTAAGCGCAGCATTCACCAAATTAAAAAGAACCCGAGGGTTGTTCCTGTTATTTGTAACCATATCAGCAAAATACATCATCTTAGCAGTTTTAACAATTGTCTGATAGTTATGCAAACTGTCCTTTAACATTTGAAAGGAAACTTGCAACTTATCCCTTTTCCACCTTCGCTCAGCTCTCCTACACTGACGTCGAGCAGTGCGAGTGGACTCATTAAGCCACGGATCAGGTCTAGGTTTGGGTCGCCTGGCTTTTAACGGAGCCACATTGTCCAAAATTGAACAAACAAGTTGAGTCAAAATGTAAGGAAAACTCTTCCAAATCACAGTCAAAGCAAGATTGATCATTTGCCAACAATGACCGGTTAAAGGCCGCGGAGAACTGAGCAGCAGTGGACGAGTTGATTACACGAGAGCGGCGCGCATTACCGCACGGTTCAACATTACGCACAAGAGGCACATCAAAGAGAATCGGCATATGGTCTGAAAACACCCCATCACAAACCTCCAAATTACACACTGAAAGACCATATGTTAAAACAAGGTCCAATGTATGTCCATGTTCCTGTGTGGGTCCAGAAACAGACTGCACAAAGTTATAAGATTCAACAAGATCCAAAAAGTCCTTGACCATAGGTTTCTCGGTGCAGCATACATGGATATTAAAGTCACCCACAATAAGTATGCGGTCAAATTTCAGCAATATGTCAGCTAAGAATCTGGAGAAGTCACTTAAGAAGTCTTTGTTGTATTTGGGTGGCCTATATACAACAGCACACAACACGGGGGGATCAGAAGCCAAAACAAACACGTTTATCTCAAAGCTCGACGCAGAAACATTCAAAGCAAACGGTGTACATTTAAAGTTTTTCTTGTAAACAGTCGCTACTCCACCTCCACGCCCCGTTGTTCTTGGTGTGGAAAGATAGGTAAAGTCAACAGGCAAGAGTTCAGCAAAAGCACTAGACTCACCGACGTTGATCCACGTCTCCGTTATGCACAAGAAATCCAACCCGTGAGACATAATGAAGTCCTGTAGAATGAAGGTTTTGTTCACCAGCGATCTAGCGTTTACCAGCGCTATCCTGGCTGGAGCCACAGTACTGCTAGCCTTCCTGGTAGCCTCGCAGAACGTCCGATCAAGCGAGCGTAAGTTGTGAACATTCACTCCGCGTAACTGGCCACGGGACAACAGAGGATGACAGGTCAGTGTCCTCTCATCATCCAAACCGACCACAGGAACAAGGTATCTGGTCGGACCATAACGTCTCGAGCCGAAACTGCTGCGCTCCCGGGCAGCAAGCAACAAACCGGCCTTTAGCTTCACCAGCCTTCCACTGCGTTTCCCCCGGCGTCTACGACGCGCTCTGTGCGAGGGTAGAGCCGGACAGCGGAGGTGAGCCGGTATCCCGGACAGGAATGGTGGGCAAGAACTTCCATGCTCCCCCCACTCGATATTCACCAAGTCCAGGCTAAAAAGTCGAAGATCCAGTAATGTTTGGCGATCATAGACCAGCAGAGAATTGACTTTTACTGCAGCAAATGTCAGGATTGCCACAAACAAAAACAGAGTGCGAATTGACAAACACATATGTCCCCTCCCCTGATGATGAAACACACCTTGTGCAGTGGAGATGCCCCATCATCATCACAAAGCTCTGGGTTTGCTCTGTGCTGCAATAAGAGTTCCACTACCTCTACATGACCACAGAAGGCTGCTCTGTGCAGGGGAGTTGCGCCCCCTGGTGTCTGAGGAGATGCACACGCGCCGTTGTCAAGAAGAAACTTGCACATTGCCAGCTTTCCACTGCGACTGGCATAGTGCTGGGGAGAAAGAAGACAGAAGAGGTGGTAGGAATAAAACAATTATTGATGAAAGTACAAAAATAATACAAACCAAAGCTGTATATCCAGCACTATCTTTCATGTTGGGATGTGAACCTTTCTGGATTAAAATGTTGACCCTTTCCAAGTCCCCTTCCATTGCTGCTGACCAAATTCCTGTGATGTACAGCACAACATAAAGTCTCAGATATTTATACACTGCATGATCACATATATAGACACATATGTATTATTTCATGCACAAGTTTTATATAATTTGTGCATAGAATTAAACAGACCTCTTTCAAAATCCATCTCACTCAATGACTGGTAAACATTGGACGATGTCACTGAATGTGTGCAACAGGAGCAATGGTCTCGATTTGACGCCATTGCAACGTCAATAGCTAAATATCAATAACTCGATGTGAACTTTAAAAACAAAACAAAGATAATGTTGTAGCTGTCATTGTGAGAGTGCACACGATTAAACCTGCTAGTTACAGCAAACAGCGACATCCCTAACCCGCTCTACATTATACTGTTTAAAATACAAATACTTGAAGACTAAACTGATTGTAAAGAGCTTTCGTAGAGAAACACCAAAACACGATACGGAATCTGGTGAGGGACAAACTTCACAAATGCGATGTTCGTTCAGTCGAAGTATCTGACCAATCACAGATCCACAATTCGTGCGTGCTATTCACTGTCTCTTAAAAAAATAGATTTTACACAACGTGTTTTCAGTTTGCCACTTGCACATTCAATCTAACGCAAATAATAATTACATTTATACATGATACGTTATGTCCGAAAAATAAGTATAGATCTGATACCATGATGAAACATAAAGACATTGTTACGTCATTATCTTTGCATAACCAAGCTGAAAAATGTTACCATACGTTTTGACTGATACTGTATTTCTCCCGAAGTTCCGTAAAGGCGCCTTTTGTCTTCTGCAGTTAGCTATAGCCAAAGTGAAGCGTGAATCGGGCTGAGCTTCTCAAACCAACTGTTAAGGGAAATATAAACCAAAATATATTTAACCAAAGCGCCAAAATAATGAGAAGAGTCACGCTTTTTGTAAATGGGACGTCTAGAAATGGCAAGGTTTGTAATAACGCTGCAATGGACGTAGATATTCACAATAATATAAGCAGGCATTTTCTCTTTCATTAAGGTGATATGTCTTTAGATCTACAATCACTTTTTAGATGTAGGTTATATACATGCTGCATTGGCCATGTTAAGTTGCAATATTATATCTGAAAATGTCACTGTTTGGCTCAACCACGCTACATACACAAGCCAACCAGTATCTACATGTTGTTTACTAACCATTGTTTTCAAACCTTTTTGTCTTCAGGTTGTAGCTGTGTACGGGACATTACCAGACCTGCTCTCAGTAGCAAGCAATAAGTTAGGAATCAAAGCCACGTGTTTGTACAATGGAAAGGGTGGTCTTATAGATGACATCGCCCTGATTAGGTAAACAAACAGCATGACCAGCACTTAATTAATTACTATGTAAACTCACTTTCTGTGTGTAATAACAGGGATGACGATGTGCTGTATGTGTCAGAAGGAGACAGTTTTGTTGGTGAGTGATTGTACTTATATCAGAAAATGAAAACTGGAACACTTTGCCTGGTAGAGGGTTTGTTGTTTATTTGGGTCGATCTAATGTTTTTTTTTGTTTTAGCCTGGAATATATTGCATTTTAGAGTTACAATTACAACAAATTACATGTTTTCTGTATACATTGGAGACAAGCAAGTTGTTTAACTAAGGTACAAGTCATATCTGTGTAGAAGGGAGCCAAATAAAATAAAATAATTATAGATTTATTTATATCATCTGGACTAAAGACTTGCAAATAATTTAAAATTTCTCCAGTATGAGATCAATACAATGTTATCTTATATTGTATTAGAATGGTGTTTATTAGTAAGTAAGTAGTAAGTAAGTAAGTTTTTATTTATATACCGCCTTTTCACTGCAGATCTGAGTCTCAAAGCGGTTTACAATTGTTAATTTTTGGGCATTTGTCTCTCACTCCACACAGAGATGGGAGCGGGGCCAGTACAGGAGGCACATGCTAGAACTATTGGACATATTTTTAGTGGTAGGGGAAACCGGAGTACCCGGAGGAAACCTACGCAGACACGGGGAGAACATGCAAACTCCACTCAGAAAGGCCCTGGTCCGACCGGGATTCGAACCCAGGACCTTCTTGCTGAGAGGCGAGAGTGCTATCCACTCAGCCACCGTATTGAGGGTTTACATTAGTAACTTGGTTGATGCATGTAGGCATATAGAGAGGTAGAGAATTATAATTATTGACATAGGCTGGCATGTGGCATGTTGGTTTAGTTTGGAGCTTAGACTTGGGCAGATCTATTGCATGATATTGTTTTAAAATTTCCTTGAGTTGGGGTTAGGGTTAGGGGTTAGATGGTGGGAAGGAGGGTTGCAGCACAAGCAAAAACACTTTTTAAGTACAGACTAGCAGAAGCCCATGTGTGTAGTACTAGTGGGAGAAGACTGGAGTAAAGGCGGGTGAGATAGTGTCTGCAGGAAAACGGATGATACAATTCTTTGTCTGAACTTTTCATAACATACTGAAGCACATTCCAAGCAAAGAAATAAGCTCTTTTTAGCAGCAAGGGGGTACCACATGAGGGAAAAAGTTGCCCAATTTATCTTTTCTTTCAATATTTTCTTTTATTACTTTTACATTTTGTATTTTGCTTTCAGAGCCAGAAAATGAAATGAAGCCCATTCTAGAACTACAGGGCTCACATACTGACTGGATAACGCTGAATATAGGCGGTCGGCTTTTTACTACAACAAGGTAAAGATGACATTTAAATATATTCATCAATGACTAATGATCATTTGTTTTTTAATTCTAAAATGAACTTTCCTATAGGAGCACTTTGGTCAGCAAGGACCCGGACAGTATGCTTGCTCACATGTTCAGAGAGAAAGGTGGATTAATATTATTTCGTTTTCATTATTTGTGTAGAAAGATATTCTGCTCAATTAAGAAAAAAAACAGCTCAGATGGAAGCCTTTGATTCTATTTGTATTATTTGATTCAGATGTGTGGGGAAATAAACAGGACGAGAATGGTGCCTACTTAATCGACCGCAGCCCTGAATACTTTGAACCCATTCTCAATTATCTGAGGCATGGGCAGCTCATTGTCAATGAAGGCGTCAATATTCGAGGTTGGTTTGCTTGTTTTACTTTTAGTATAATCTGATGTCAAGTCAACTTAAATATGGAAGAATGATTAATGTTTTCAGGTATATTGGAGGAGGCTCGCTTTTTTGGAATAGAGCAACTGGCTGAGCAACTTGAAATGACTGTTAAGGTCTGTGCTGAGTCGAGCGTTGTTGATACAGCTTATTTATTTATTATTTATAACTTGATTTTGTGTCTGCACCAGAGCTCACAGCCAGCTGATGACCACTCGCCCATTTCCCGAAAGGAGTTTGTTCGCTTTCTTTTGACAACTCCAACTAAGTCCGAGCTCCGCTGTCAGGTACAGGGATTTTTTGGGGGGGAAAACATGACCTATATTTAACCATTTCAATCACAAAACTCATATTTCTTTTAATCTAGGGTCTTAATTTTAGCGGGGCTGACTTGTCTCGACTCGATTTGAGATACATAAATTTCAAGATGGCCAACCTCAGCCGCTGCAACCTGTCTCACGCTAATTTGTGTTGCTCGAATCTTGAAAGAGCAGATCTTTCAGGAGCTAACCTAGATGTAAGTCCTAACATTTTAAAGTATAACTAAAAAAGAGATGCATTATACTGTATTGTTGGTTTGTTGAAAGGGTGCAAACTTACAAGGAGTGAAGATGCTTTGTTCCAATGCTGAAGGAGCTTCTCTCAAAGGATGTAATTTTGAAGATCCATCTGGACTAAAGGCCAACCTCGAAGGTTTGTGTCCTTTTTGTCATCTGCCTTTTTTGATGCTGCCCTTTACGCATGAACCATTACAGTCCAGTCAGAGTATGGATGTTATTTCTGTTTTTTTTTTTAGGGGCTAACCTGAAAGGTGTGGAAATGGAGGGAAGCCAGATGACTGGGATCAACCTGCGTGTGGCCACTTTGAAAAATGCCAAGCTGAAGAACTGTAACCTGCGGGGCGCCACATTAGCAGGGACCGATCTCGAGGTGAGGGCTGTTTGGAGAAAAGGATTATTTTTTAAAGGTTTTATCTGAGTCACACTGACCCCAGAGACTGAAGGGCTCTGACTGCCACCAGATTTCAAAGCTTTCAACGTAACTTCTCAATTATAGTTCAGTTGTAAGATCTTGAAGTACATTTTCTTGTGTTTCATTAATTCAAATGTTTTTTTTACTTTTAATAATATTTTGAGCAGTTTTCTATGGAAACAGTCTTTTCTCGTTCTCTTACAAAAACATAACACAATGTTGCCATAATTATTTCTTATTTTCATCTTTAATCGTGATTTTTTAAACCTAAGGGTAAGTTCTTCAGGCCCCTGTTTCTCAAACGACTGAACATGTACCACTGTTGAATTCCGAGTAATTTCACATTGTTGACCTTTTTTGGGTGAAATACTTTATTCAAACTACAGTACTAATATTTACTTAGACTGTACAAAGATGGACAATGCTAACCCGCGAGCCCAATAGAAAAGGGCTCCTACTTGCTCTGGCTTTTATTGACTTGGATTGAAAAGTAAACTCCTCCATCTCAGTTGGGCTTAACAAATCCATGGTTTAGCTCTCTATGATGCTGGTGTTTATATGTTGATATTGTCTTTGTAAATCCCGATATGAGCCATGAGTTGCCACCATTCGTTGGTGGAAACTCCAACTTGCCTTAGCAACCATCTTAGCAACATTTCTGCCCGTTCTTCCACATTTGGCAGCACTTGGTCAGTCCACTCCTAATATTTATATTTAACAGCAGCAGATTCATTTCAGACCTAGAAATACAATGTACCTGGTATGTAATTTATGGTAGTAATGAAAAAACCACATATTTCATTATGGGGGGGCGGGGGGCTACAAACAAATATAATACAAATACAAATACATGTTAAATATTGAAACTGTTTTACTTTGTTGTGTTTCCAGAATTGTGATCTATCCGGCTGCGACCTGCAAGAGGCAAACCTCCGCGGCTCCAACGTGAAAGGAGCCATATTTGAAGAAATGCTGACACCGCTGCACATGTCCCAGAGTGTCAGATAACTTTCCTATCCACTCGTTATCACCAATGTTTCCCATATTCTGTTTCCCCTGACATTCCACCTCGCTTAACATATCTTGCACTAGAGTCGATGCAGGGTTGTGTTTGAATGGTAGGATATACACGCTGCATGCATCACCAAAACAAAATGATCTTATCTGTGTATTTGTGTTTCGATCCAGTCCATTCACAACATTTATGTATCATTACTATCATCACCATGTTTTATTATTGCTGTCATGGTTTATGCGTGAAGTAGCTTTACTCAATGCTGCTGGAAATGGCTACTTTAATATTGCCATCAACTTGTATGGCGTGCTACTTAATATTGCTGGATCCATGTGTTTATTTCATAACGCAAATCAAACCAAAGCCATACATTTATCACAGTCTAAAGGACGAGCAAAGTACTGCGAGTGCACTATTATTCTATGCCACAGATTAAAAGCAAAAGTCAAACTTGGGTATGCAATACACATTTCCATTTGTTTTCTGAAGATGTAAAAGCTTTATTTCTTTTTTGTGTGAATCTACCTCTTTTTGGCAATTGGTCTCCAGTGATTCACAACTGCATGCATTTCTGGCGCTAATTGTTGTAATTATCTGTGTAAATTGTATTTTCTTTTGAGAGAAAAGGAATTTTAAGGGCGCGTTCACGCTTGTAGGTCTGGTTTGTTTTAACTGGACCAGGTCTGGCTCACTTCAAGTGGACCAAGCCTGGTTCTCTTTAGCTGGACCCAGTCTGGTTCACAGATCTGTCTCAAAAGATGTGAACTGATTTAGAGACATATTTTGCAAAATCAACTTTTTTGAGCTTTCAACCATGTTACAACATTGTTCCCTCATATTTTAAGATCCATCCACGCTACTATCAAGAGCTTTCGGCACAAACATGTTGCTAATAGTAAGATGTTATTGCGCGATAGCACCCGCAAAGCCTCTTAAAACAAAAGTATTGCTCATAAATTATTTTTTGTATTTAAAGTGAAAGGACTTTCTTTACATTAATATGTTGGCAGTAGGTCATTTTTACATTTTAAACTTTCCCTCTGGTGGTAGCATAAGGATCGCACAGGCTGATAACTTTTTTACCCTTCATACTTAAATAATAATACATAATTTCATCACTCTTGACCAAAAATAAGGATGATATTGGGTTATATTTCTTTTAGTGGAAACATTCACATTTCACTCTTACCAACAAGTGTGAGCGCGTGCTTGGACAGAAACATGCTGTCAATGATGCAATCCATGTTGTTGTCTGTGATGTTGCCTATAGACAAACTATCGACATATATCGCCTTTGACCTGTTTGCACAAGCTTATATTGTATCACATTTCCACCAAATGAATGTATTTGGTGCTTGTAATCCGTCATAATCCAGTGCTTCCAATATCTTCCAAATAACGTTATGAGAAAGAGGAACGATCTTCACTTATTGCATGTGTAACTCTCAAATCTAAAGCTGCTCAACTGCAATACTCTGTGTGTAGTAGGTACTGAACGATGAAGGCAATCATGTAGTGTTTTTAACCTTGAGCTGGACGTGTGTCTGAGAGAGAAAAGTTATTTATTGTAAAAACGCATCTCGCTGAATGCAAAGGAGCAAAGAATCGGTTGTGGACGACACCCTCCTCCTTTGTGATTATTGCACTTGACTTTGGAAATATGTTTCCATAAAAGACTGTTATAAATAAACTGCTCGGAAGAGGATAACAGCTTTGTCTTGTGTTTTTGTTATAAGTCTTTCGTCTGGATCAATATTGGATTAAGTGAGTAATGCGTGTTCTGAAATTAAAATAGAAGCACTCTGCATGTTACCAGTAAATCAAGCTTAATCGTTTTTTTGTGCCCACCCACAGAGAGCACTGGGATGTATAAAAGCAAATAAACAGCTCAAGTTAATGTGATAATAATTTAAAGTGTTGTAGGTGGTAACATCGGTAAATCCTTTCAGAATGGCCTATAAATCATCTGCTCTGCGTCTCTGTGTTTTTGGCTTGATCACTGCTCAGGTCTGCAGCCAGCACTGGTCCTTTGGTCTTAATCCAGGAGGAAAGAGGGAACTGGATGGTCTCTCACAGACTTTGAGTAATGTAAGTATAGCCCCATTTGAGCTGGTCCATGTTTATTGTTGTATTTGCCATTTTTGAGGATACCTTTATATAACTTACATAACATCTCTTCATATTTTTATTAGAACTTTAATAACAAATATGTGCGTTAGACCTTTGAAAATGAACGATGATGATGCTGACACAGTGAGATATAAAGGCGTAGACTCAGTATGGGGGCTCGTCTTGGTGGCCTTCTTCGCCAAGTCGGGACCCCCCTCGAGGAGAATGAAGGTTGAAGAGCATTTTAAATGAGGGTTTGGGACGTGAGAACAGACTGGAACTGACTTGTGAGACTACTTAGAGTTAAGAGGCATGCATGGACCAGCTCACAAACACATTTAACATTTACACTTTTTACCATCATTAAGAAAAAAATCATTAAGTATGGTATTCCAGTTATAGTTCTTTTTTATAGTTATTATGGGTCAGCTGCATAATACATGGCAAACTCTGCAGAAAACCCTGTAGTCTAAATAATTTGGAACGTACAGAGTAGATAGAGAGAGAGATAGGGGTGAAAACTTTCTGTGCACATAAGCCGGGAATTCAGTCGATTTACCTGAATAGTAAAAATCCTTCTCCCACAGATAGTAGACACATTACAGCATGTGGACGGCCGCTGCAGTGTGGGGGAGTGTGGAGAACAACTGCCCAAAAAGAACACACTCAAAAGAATTCTCGTAAGTGATTCACCTTGTACAGTGTGTGGCAGGTGTTACATACGATACCACTATATAATCTATATTTCTAATGTACATTGTCGGTTTTCTTTCTCAGGGCAGAGTGGCAGACATGGATATTGGCCATAAGACATTTGAAAAGTCATGTATTTGGTTTCACTGTACAGAATGAATGAATATGTTTTCTTTTAAATGCATGTAATGTATTTGTCAAGTAAAGATTATAATTTCTCACCATGGTTAATGTTTATTGAAATTATCACTAGATCAAAATAGAATTCTAAATATGGGTCACGTTTCTCTTTTTTTTCTATTGTTTAAGCCTAGGGAAGTCCACCAACAGAAAAAATATATATATTCTGAGTTTTAGCAGTAATGTGATGTCATTGTGTGTGTGTGTGTGTGTGCGTGTGTGTGTGCTTTTGTTGAATCTTTATACATATTTGAGGTTATACAGTATCTCAAAGAAAATACTATGAAAAAAATATATTAAAAAAAACATTTCTTAGTAAACTCAAAATGTAGGCCTCTCACAAAATACTAAATAATAAATCTAATCATAAAATCACATCTAAAAATGTTATACATACTACATACAACGGCTATAATTTCACCATTGTCAGCATTCTTGCAAACCCAGGTTTACGAAACACTTCATAATATAACGTTCATCGTAATCCTCAACCTCTTTGATTACTTTGACAGAAATGGAAATGGCTGTGGCACTATTCTGGCATTATGAGTGGTGTTGTGAGTGTCTTCAGTCTGTCTTCATTATCGGCGCTGCTCTTCCTCTCCTCTGATCTAACCTGTCCTCTCCTCGTCCATATCTGCCCCCACATCTGTCCAAACATCCTCCTCACATCTCTCCTTCCCCCTGACATTAATCTGCTCTCTCTGCTCCATATAGGCACAAATATACTACCCACTGGTGGAAATATATCAGTGCTGTTCTTTACGGTGTCTCCTCCACAATCTTCCTGTGTCCTGTTTCTCCACATTAGTCTTATTTTCATTTCACTTGCACCTCTAAGCACATCACTCACAGTCCATGCACACAAAATACGAGCACGCTTGGAATGAAGCTGAGACAAGGTTCACTCTCTCTTTCCGACGGTGTTGTAGATTATATACCAAACATACCATAACTTTGTGTGGTGCATGGCTTGTGGGAATGAAACGCTTAATAACATCAGGGGGAAAATCATCTTCTCCTTTCTCTCCCATCAATCCTCACATTGTTGTTTCAGTGTGGTAAAAGGGCTGTACATTAATGAGATGCACTTGTGATGCTGAATTTTTTTTTGTATTATTCTTGTCACAGTAACACATAGCATTGATGGTATTGGCCTACTATGGATTGCTAAACTTGATTTTTAAGCCTACAACCATATGATTGAATATGTTCTCATTTTTCTCTTTAACTATCAGTCAATGCATCTTTTCTTAAAATTTGGTTCAGTTGTTGTTGAATCACTAGAAAATAATGTACAAACCCATGTCAAATACCACTTTCACAGCACTTTTATACTTTTGGCCCCTGACCAAAATGAGTTTGACACCTCTGAACCATGTGGTTTGGTGCAGATCCAAACTGTATAGGAAGCATTCTTGATGGTGCTAATTGAATTGAATTGAATTGAATTGATGGAAAGACATTTTATTCCTATTAAATGTATTTCAAAAATCTTGCTCAACAATGCCAGCCTTGACAGGAAATACCAAATCAAAAGAGAATGTAATAAGGGTATATCCATCCTTCCATCCATCCATCTTCTTCCCCTTAATCCATTTCTGGGTCGGGGGGTGGCAGTCAGAGCTGTGCACCCAGTACACAGAGCACCAGCCCCTCACTGATCCTCCTGCAGGGGGTGAGTCCACGGGAGCCTTGATCTTTCAGAGGGGGATTCAGGTAAAGTGGGGTTGAGTGCCTTTCCCAAGGACACAATGACAGTAGACAGTGGGAGTCGCGAAGTGGTCTCGAAGTGGTCATGGCTTTAACCCATGACCAACTGAGCCACTGCAGCTTTTTAGTGTAAAAAAGCGTAAAAGAGATGACCACCCACAGGCAGTCAGCTCTCAGCCCAACGAGTCCAATAATATCTCAGCGGGCTCTGTCTCACAAGTATGCCAAAGATAACACGTTTTCTACCAACATGAAGACAGCATGTAGTGGTCTCCAAAATGTTCCTTTACAAGACTGTCTATTGGGGGGAAAAGAAAAAAAAAATTCTTTATAATGATAATAAAATAAATGCATTTCTGATGACCATGCCTGTATATAATTACACACACACAGTAGAATGGCACAAATAACCCGAAGTGCACAGTCAGCAGAGGGCGCTGTCAAACAAAGTAAATCACGCTCTTTGTTCATTTTGCCTAAAAACTGTGACTTTGTGAAACTGTGAGTTGTTTTGGTGTTTACCTCCTGGGGTATGTTGTGACATGTGTGTTTGTTGTTATGGAGGCTCATATGTGCCCAGTGTGACCGTGTGCCCGCTCCTCAGAGCCGCCTCCATGTGGATCATAAAGTGCTTATTATCCTGGTTGAGTAAGCAGCACATGCACTTGACCCGCGCCGTCTGTTTGTCACTAAAGGACTCAAGTGCATTCATCATCACGGTCTGACAGCGATACAGCATCTGGGGGAACAAAACAATTTATTCCAGGAGGAAGTTTTAACATGCTGAAGATCATAATGCACACATAAGAGGACACTGCACATTTCCACTTAAATAAATTAACACATTGGCTCTTGATCAATAATAAACCCACAAGGATATATTGAGATATGTGCTCTATATTAGGCTTACATAATTCTGTCATTAAATATAGAGCTGCGAAGAGGAAAAAGCGAAGGTTTCTTGAAGTAATTTTCCCCATTTAAAATCTTAGTGTTTTGAAATGTCCAAATATCAAGTGTTTGAAGACATGATGGGGCCTTAATACTTGCAAACTATATCTACAGCGCGGTGTTATCGGCCATAAGAAAGATGTTGTATCTGTTAAATGTCCATCCATCCATCCATTTTCTACCCTTTAATCCATTTCTGGGTCAGGGGGGTGGCAATCAGAGATGCCACCCAAGTCTCATAGCACCAGCCCCTCACTGACCCTCTGCAGGTGGTGAGGCCACAGGAGGACGGCTGCTCTCTGAGCGTGAGCATAGCCTTGATCTTTCAGTGGGGGCTTTGGGCAAAGTGGGGTTAAGTGTCTTGCCCAAGGACACAACGACAGCAGTCATCAGTGGGAGTCGGTGGAGAAGGTGTAGAGGTGGGAATTGAACCCACGACCTTCAGGCCTGAAGGCCAATGCTCTACCAACTGAGCTACTGTCGCACATATGTATATAAAACATATGTTTTATATACATATGTTAAAATAGTCATGTAGAATAGATTAGGGGTCTGCAACCTGTGGCTTGGGAGCTTTCAGGTATAGCTCTCCAAAGGATTCATGATTTTAACACATGACGCTGAATGAGTCAATGTTGAGCCATTACACATATATTTTAACTATAAATCTGTTCCTTAATGCAGGGAGACTGTGCAGTATAGTGGTATGTTATGTGTGTTTTCCGTGTTTGGCTTTAGATATTATAGACTACAGATTTATTACAACTGCTAAAGGAGAATCTCTCCAATCGAAAAAGGTTGGAGACCCCTGATGTAGATGTCGTCACTACTCATCAGAAAGCGGATCAGCCTCAAACACATTACATATTGTAAGAAATCATTTTCTGGTACTTTTACTGCTTGAAACCCTATGCTCCCAGCTCCTCAGGCCTGTCCTGCTGTAAATATGTTGGAATTCATCAGGGTGTTTTTTTATTTGGTCTTCACTCAAAATCCTTTGGCAAAGGCATATCTTAAACGCTCAGACTCAGACGCCTGAACAGGTGTAGATGGAATGCACTTGCCTTTAGGCTTTTTATATTTTATATCTCACTGATACTGTGTTTGAAGCTTCACACTTCGAAAGTGTATGATCAAATAATCTACTTTATACTGAAATATTTGAATTCAACTAAAAAGAATCTGTATTCCAACTGTTCTGACTTTTTATGTTACGATTAATGAATACAGATTTGAGGGAATGGGTTAAAGCTGGAGTACCTAACTTTGAAACCACAAAGACCCAGTGGGGCTGTAATCAATTAATCACAACTAATAACTATTTATGAAGATGTTTTATAGATAAATCTATAATGACTGTATAGCCTGGCTAACACCAGACTAAATAAGCCGTTGGAATGATGGAGAGCACACAGCAACATGCAGAACATGTGACATATATGTTCTGCAGAATGAAATAATGCTGTGTCAACAATGGTTTCTGAATCAAACATTCCAGTGTTTGACAAGTAATGTCCATGAATATCACATGTTGTGGTTAAATATATAACATATTCCATATTCACCGACCTAATCGATTAATCAAAGGAATAATCCTCCATTTAATCGGTTTTCAAAATAATCATCAAACAGCTCTGCATGTTAAGCCTCTGTCACATCTTTAGATAATATTTTTTTAGACAGAAAAGTGAAATAGACAGGACCACCCTCACTCAGACAACCAATGTTCCGCCCAAAGCTTCAAATAGTGACTCTCAAGGCTCTTATAAGTTTACAAAAGATCAAATGTTTTCTTATGAGAAAATGACAGCATGTTTTGGTCTTTTAACATGTTACTTTTTTAAGACCACAGACTACCAACATGAATTACATTTTTTTTAAATTACGTTCTATTTGTCTAGACCTACAAAATTGTCAATTCGTCATAAATGTCGCTGTCCCTAGACAATCCTGAAATAGCGAGGAACACCTTCCACAGTCAGCCAAGCACATGCTAACTGTGATAGTTGTGTGATTTATGTGGGGAAAAAGTTAGGTACCCCAGCTTTAACCCAGGAACTTGCACTGCTATGTCATAAAATTACCTCTATGCTTTCAGAATGAGAACGACTTAATGTCCGGCTGGAACTCCAAACGTCTCAAGCTAAAAACACTGTCCAGATGACTGACACATTTGGACAACTCTTGAACATATGAGGGATTGCATTAACATTCTAACTCTGACATAAAAGCAGTTCTAAATCTCCTTCTCAGAACGAAAGAGGAAGTGGTTCTCTGTAAAACCCCAGGACTTTGATGTGAGCCAGGTTCTGAGC